CTTCAAGTTTTTACATTCTTGGCATTTAGAAAAGTACTTAATTGTAATGATAGGATGGAAACAGTTTTGCACTGTTTGTATTACCATTTCAGTGGCTGTCTCATACTCCATTAATGTCTCAATGATATCATAATTTACTTTAACCATTTAGATTGTTTGCAATTTTTTTATATTATAAATAACCCAGGTAACATTTTTGTGCATGTGATTCTTTTTCCTTCTTTGGGACTCATCTATGTCAGAATATGATTCTTGATACAAGTTTTTATACAATTATCCATTTAATCCAGAAAGAAAAAATTTGAAGCTTCTTTTAAGATGGTGATCTTTTGAGTCTACCAAGTGCTTTTGCAATTCACCTCATGACTCAGATATTAAATCCTTCAAATAGAGTTTTCTCATAAGGACACCTTATAAACCTGCATAATCCTAACTATTTGGATTGATTTTTGGAAGGAGTATAAGAGGCCCTAATCAGAAGGACTTTGAGTGGTAGAGAAATACATTAGTTTAACATAGAGCAGTGGCTAAATTCATGGTCTTTGGAGTAAGGCAGACTTGATTTTGAACCCAAGTTCTACTTGCTTGCTATATTATCTTTGGACAGTTATTTAATAACATTTTGGATCTCAGTTATCTGCATAAAATGCAAATGATAGTTCCTACTTTATGAGGCTTTTTTTCAGGATGATGGGAGACAAAGTAGGCAAAGCCCAGTGAATAATGTGTCAATAAATGGTGGCTACTGTTATTATTATTCAGCAACTGTGAATTTGTTCTAAGGCCAAGGTCAGAGGCGTGATATAGTATGTCTAAGAGAACTTAATGTCTGTCCAAGAGAAAAAAAATCAGAAACTCTGTATTGGATGGTGAAACCATCACCCCATCTATAAATCCCCTTTATTGCATTCTCGTGCAGTTATTGTCCAGTGTCTGAAAATTTCCTGGTATGAGGCCCTCACTACATAAAAAATGTAGTAATGTACTGACATACGGACATTTGATATACTGACTCAAATTCTGACTCCTTCTAGCTCCCACCTATTCTATGGTCTAGTGTCATTTCTTTTTTAAATACACAGAACTTCCACTCCCTCATTGGATCTTAAAGGGAGGAACCAGCACGCCACCCACTGCCCATTGCAGGACCCCCTCCATGTGACCCTTAGCTGACACTTTCAGAGGTGAAGTGGATGTTTGTGAAGTGGTTCATTTCATAATTGAGAGCACTACTAGGTAGGAAGTCCCGCATTTTGGGGAGCCTAATTTTTCTTCCTGCAACTTCTACCCCTTAGATATAGTTCTGTCCTTGGAACAGAACAAAATTAATTTACTATGGAGGCAGACAGATTTGCATTTGAATCCTGGCTCCATTAGTTATTTACCTTGGAGGAGTTACTTTATTATTTTTATTATTAGTTTCAGGTGTACAAAACAATGCAATAGTTATCCTTTTCACCCCTCACAAAGTGACAACCCCCCTCCCCCATCCACTGCCCCCTCTGCCCCCAATATCATACATATCTATTACAATTCCATTGACTCCATTCCCACACTATACTCCACATCCCGTGACTATATGTATATAAAATTATAGTTTATATACAATATTATTCAACATCAGCTTCAGATATACAGTACGGCAGTCAGGCCTCTACACTGTCTATGAAGTGGTCTGGAGACGTTACTTTAGTTCTCTGAGACTGGAAAGTGGGGACAATAAGAACACCTAGAGCTGGCCGAGTTGGTTAGGAGTTGGCTTGGGACACCAGCTCTGAGCAGCAGGGCCCTACTTCGGATCCCACATGAGGGCCAGTGACGCTGCGCCCTCCACAGCTAAGATGGTGAACAACAGCTCAACCTGGAGCTGGGCTGCCATGAATCACCGGCGACGGCGTAGGCTGCAGTGGGGCTGGCCAGCAGCTGGCATGAGCTTTCATGAGCCACTGTAAGCGGCCATCCAGTGTCCAGTGAGCGACTGCTTCAGCCAGGAAGAGCGCAATGATAATACCAACATGGGCCAGCAAAGTGACATCCTCCGCAACTAGATTGAAGAACAAAAGGACAGCAACTTGTCGGTTCCGCTTCCCCGATTCCCCAACGCTGTTCCCTACCCCCAATTCCCCAATAAAATCTTAAAAAAAAAAGAACACCTAATACATAAGGTTGTTGTAAGATTAAATGAAGTAGGCATACAAAGCACTTAGCATGGGGTGTGTAATCGGTGTTCTGAGTGTCGGTGGGCATTTGACCAGGTGAAACCACTTTTTTCAGAGTACATAGTCTTTACTGTCTTGGATAATAATCAGAGATGTTATGCCTCCATAAAGGGTTAGCAGTCAGTTCAGAGCAACGTTAATTCTGAGCAGTAACTTAGAATTGGAGCATTAGAGAAGAGAAAAAGACATAGCAACGAGCACCACCTAGTGGCCATTCAGAAGGTGTAAGAAATTTATTTTTATTTTTTTTTTGGTTTATAATTTTCTTTCTTTCCTTCTTTCTTTTTTACTAAAGTTTATTGGGGTGACAATTGTTAACGGATGGATCTTGAGATTATAATGCTAAGCGAAATCAGTCAGACAGAAAAAGTAGAGAACCATATGATTTCACTGATATATGGGATAGAAAACTGAAAACAACAAAAGAACAAGAAAAACAAATGAAGAAACAAAACTCATAGACACAGACAATAGTTTAGTGGTTATCAGAGGGTAAAAGGGGAGGGGGGGGTTGTAGATGAGAATAAAGGGGATTAAATATATAGTGAAGGAAAGAAGGTGTAAGAATTTAATCAGCCCATCATCTCATGAGGAAAAAAAGTTCAGCTCACTGACCGTCATCAATTCTAACTGTGTGATGGGCTCTGAGTGGACAGAAGTTTGATTTCCAGCCCATTTTCCAGATCCAGAAAAGTTGAGTCTGAGTACTCTATATACTAAGGTCAGATAAACACAGATTTGAGTTACAGAAAAGTGAAGTCGTTTCTTGGACTTAATAGGGTGGAATGGGGGAATGTGAAATAATAATGCTCCCTTCTTTGTCGATCCCCCCCCCCCGAGAAAAGTATGATGTTGCTTGTGTGTAATCTGGGACCAAGCCCCCTCTTCCCTCCAAGACTATGGACAAGCTCCAGTCCACCCAAGCCATTCCTTTTCCAGATGGGGTGGTAGGAGAAAATATGGCTCAAGACTTGAAAAGGGAAATTCTTAAAGGGAATTGATCATAAGAGGCTGAGAAACCCTACTTAAACTTGTTTGATGTAATTACAGACTTACAGAAAAGTTGCAAGAATGATACAAAGAATTCTCATAAACATTCACCCAGATTTCCCAAATATAAACATTTTACCATGCTTATTTTTTTCCTTTATTATTCTTTCTCTTTCTCTCCCTCTCTCTCCCTCCCTCCCTAACTTCCCCTCTCTCTTGACACACACACACACACACACACACACACACACACACACACACACTGTTTGAGAGTAAATTGCAGACATAATGCTCCATTACTCCTAAATACTTTAATGTATATTTTCTAAAAACAAGGACATTCTCTTATCAAAGTCAGAAAATCATCCCTGATCCAGTACTCTTATCTAATGAACAAAGCTTATTATAATTTCACCAGTTATTCTACTAAGAGCCTTTATAGCAAAAGAAAAAAATTCTGGTCCAGGATATAATCCTAATTAAATGTACATATTACATTTAGTTTTTATGTTTCTTTAATCTCTTTTAATCTAGAACAGTTCTTTAGTCTTTCTTTGTCTTTAATGACCTAGATAAAATATTGAGTAACCAAATAAATAATAATATTAACAAATTATAAACTATAAGAGAAAGCAAGAATCCATGAGTTTATACTGACATATATAAATGAATAAATAAATGAGGAAGGAGTGAAAGCTTTTCCTGAAGAGAATGCCAACTAATAAATGGAGAAGAGATGACAGAATGAGAAAATCACAACTTGACAACCATAATAGTAATAATCAGGCAAAAGTCATCAGTGGATGCTAGAACTAGTAGATGAAAGATTGATGAGTAACAGGATATTTACATAGTCTCAAAGTATTTCCGCACAAAATATGTATTCATTACAAAGAGGAAACTAATAATTTTACATCGAAGAAAGCTGGAAGACACCGCTTTAACAGGGATCAAAGTTAACATTAAATAATATGTGCCTTTGGTATTCCTTGCCAAAATGCATAACCTGAATTTAAGCCCAAGGAAACATCAGATAAATCTAAACTGAGGGACAATCTGTAAAGTAAATGGCGTATACTCTTCAAATTCTGCCTTTTAACCAGAAAACGTTGACAGCTCTGCTTTAGACTAGGTGTTAGGGTAGTTGAGGGAGATCCAGTTCTTCAGGGCAAGGGCCAGGTCTTTTTTGATGTGAGGACGCTCTGAGTCCTTCTCTCAGGTGACAACTGTGCCCATCAGGATGCACAGGGGCCAGAGGTACCATGCCTACCTCCTACTCCCATGGTTGCAGAGCCAGGGACTCCAGGGTCCAGGAGACCACATCTCCATTGTAAGGTGTTTGGCCAGGGCCTTGGAGTCCTCTAGAATTTGGAAGCACTTTCCCAGGGGCATAAATATAAGACAAATACAAGGCAGCACTTCCTGATGCAGAAGGTGGAAATTTCTTGACTCTGGGGAGTAAGAAGTAGGAAGTTAAGCTGGTTCAGGAATAGAAAACTGAATTTTCAGAATGGCAATGTCAAGAGACAATTACTGAGTGGTATTCAGTATTTCTAAGGTGAGTGTGGGAGGGTGGGGAGACCTTATAGCAACACATCTTCCTTCATGCATTCCCTGGTTTTCCCAATGCCACCATCAGCCTCCCCAGCCAACTCTAGGGGGTGGGTTTGATGAGCTTCTGTATAGGTAGCAAGTCTGGCCCCACAGCAATGGGATTTCCTGGGGGTTCTTTTTCTGGAGAATGAAGATGGGAACAGTGAGCAGGACACAGCCTCTTGGGTTGGTTTTTAGTGACCTACGGAATGACAAGCTCCAGTGCCTATTACTACACCAAAGTGATGTCTGAGCTCTTCTTACATACCCCGTCAGACACCGGAGTCTCCTTCCAGGCCATCAGCAGCATGGCGGACTTCTGGGATGTGAGTATGAGATCGCCTCTATCCCTCCCCTCTTCTCAATGGCCTGAAGGCTTAGGCCACAGGCCAGCATTTAGGGACATCAGACAGTGGATCAGGCCATATTTAGAGACCAGGTCATTCCAGGGACAGGCTGAGTCAAAGGGTCAAGCAAGAATTAATGGATCAGACTAGAGTTAAGGTGGAAGTAGGGGAGAGGTCATGATGACGATCGGAGAGTCAAGCCAGTAGTTAGACTAGTATTGGGAGTCAGAGGTAAGGCTGAACTTCTAAATGCATGTTAAATAAATGGTCAAGGTTCATGTGACAGCTGAGTGATCCAACAGAAACAGACTGGAGACAAGTCTGGGTGTCAGGGAGTGAGGGCAAAAGTCATTCTAAGGGTAGGGATTGGCATGAGTCTGGGTTAGGCCCAACCCTGCTTTGGTCTAGTTTGCCCAGGGCCCACTACTGGACAGTTTGTATTGGACCAAATGGTACAACAACCAGAGCCTGGGCCACGGCTCCCACTCCTTCATCTACTATGAGAACCTGCTTCTGGGGGTTCCAAGGCTGCGGCAGCTGAGGGTTCGCAATGACTCCTGTGTGGTGCATGAGGACTTCCGCGACGACATTCTGAACTGCTATGACGTCTACTCCCCGGACAAGGAAGAACAGCTCCCTTTTGGGCCCCTCAATGGCACAGCGTGAGTGAGTCCCCCCACCAATGTCACAGGGCTTGCCCCTCTGAACCTGACACCATCCCACTTCCACTGAGCCTTAAGGGGAGAGGTAGAGATAGAGCCTTGGGGGAACTCAGGGGAAATGGGGTGAGGGCATCTTTCTGAGTCCCAGCTGTGACTGTTGGGAAACCTTGGTCTGGATCTCAGGGACAGACAGAGCCATAGCCTCTGGACTTGTTTACACACACAGGTCATGACCACATTTGCCCTACTCTGGAGGCAGTCCTGCCAGAGAAAGCATCCTTTCTTGCCCAGAAGTCCCTTGGGGACATGGAGAATGGATGAAGCATTGACACTGCCACATGAGTCATGGTTGGAAGAGTGTGACCTTTGGAGTTGAGTATGGATGATGAATTAGGGGAGAAAGGAAGAAAGGACATATAGGACTGAAATGAAAGGGGAGGAAGACACAAGGGTGCAAGAGGGAAAGTTTGTGGTCAGAATAGAGAACCATGGGGTGCACAACCATAAGAGCAGAAAGGGTCTTTACTGGATTGTATGGGCCAGGTGCTTCCCTTGTAGGGACTACCCAGGCTGGGGTCAAAAGCGGGGCTTGGGTTTGTCATCCATAGTCTTGGGTGACATCATGAAAAATTAGGAGATTTACATTTGAGAGCATGAATCCTAACCACTAGACCACCAGGGAGGTGACAGGAGATTTACATTTGAGTTTCAGTTCTGCCACTAAGTAGCCGAATAATCTCAGATATCTCTGAATCTTAGTGTCCTCATATGCAAAACGTAGATATTTACCCTTAGTTCTCAAACAGTTGTTAGTATCAAACAAGATAAGATGTGAAATACACATATGTATGATATGCATATATAGTACCTGTGAAACTGTAAACCCTAGGCAATCGTAAAGTATTGCCATTGCCTTGGGAGATCAGCTTTAGTTTGGGTCAGACCTCTGCTCAGATGGCTTCTTCCTTGGCAGGTGGACATACCACTCACAGGATGAACTGGGGGGCTCCTCTCACTGGGGACAGCTCACCAGCTACAGTGGAGGCGGCTACTACCTGGACCTTCCAGGATCCCGACAGGGCAGCGCAGAAGCACTGCGGGACCTTCAGGAGGGCCTGTGGCTAGACAGGGGCACTCGGGTGGTCTTCATCGACTTCTCAGTCTACAATGCCAACATCAATCTTTTCTGTGTTCTGAGGTGGGTCCCCTTTCCCTACGGCATCCCTCCATCCATGGTTCCTGGTTCCCTCCTCTGCTTGAGACCCTTCCCTAAACATGTACCCTGTGGTGGGGGTGGGGAGAGGAGGGAATGGGAGGAACTGTCCTGGCCCAGCCCCCACAGACCTCTCTCCCTCTTCCCACAGACTGGTGGTGGAGTTTCCAGCTACAGGAGGTGCCATCCCATCCTGGCAAATCCGCACGGTTAAGCTGATCCGCTATGTCAGCAACTGGGACTTCTTTATCGTTGGCTGTGAGATCATCTTCTGCATCTTCATCTTCTACTATGTGGTGGAGGAGATCCTGGAGCTGCACATCCACCGGCTTCGCTACCTCAGCAGCATCTGGAATATTCTGGACCTGGTGGTCATCTTGGTGAGGGACAAATATCTTGGACTTGGGACATATTGGGAGAAGGGGCATCCACCCTGGTAGGGGCTCCAAGTTCTTCCTGTTGAAGTCGCATGTCCTCCTTAGGACTTCTGGTCAAATCCCTGGGTAAGCGCTCCCTAAGCGAGAGGCTGATGTTCCTCTGGCTCGGCCTTGGGAAAGTCACACCCCCCTCCCTCTAGTCTGTGATGCAGGCCCTGCTCTTTCTTTATGCATTTGATATGCTGTTCCTCTTCTGTCTCTTGCCTTTATGACCTATCCCATTAAAACTCCTGCCTTTTCTCTTCTATTAAAATATTCTGCCTCTTCATCTTTGTCTCCTTCCTAGGAACAGGACAAATCATTAATTTCCTGACCAAGGCTGGGAAGCGGTGGAAGAGATAAAATCACTTAGCTCTGGTTCTCTATGGCCCTTTACAACCCACGTGTTTACCACTGGCCCCAGAGCTTTCTCTTGGGCTTTAAGGCACTGCCCACTCATCCGATCCAGTTCCATTTGAACCTGAGATAGTCAACAACTCAGCAGCTAGGGAATTATTTTTCCCCCCACCTGTCTTACTGTCTCACTTACCTCTGTGACTTCATTGCTGAAGTTCCCTTGAGATCCCCTTGACTCCTCTGACACCTCCAACCCCTGTGATGGCAGCTCTCCATTGTGGCTGTGGGCTTCCACATATTCCGAACTTTGGAGGTGAATCGGCTGATGGGGAAGCTCCTGCAGCAGCCAAACATGTATGCTGACTTCGAGTTCCTCGCCTTCTGGCAGACACAGTACAACAATATGAATGCGGTCAACCTCTTCTTTGCCTGGATCAAGGTACCCTGAGATTCCTCTCTTCAGTTCTGCCTCAGGGCGCACAATTCTCCCTCCGTCAATACTCGTCTCATTTTCCTTGTCTGGTTCGGCTACTCCTATGGCCTCTATAGTCCCCCGGAGTGGACTGTTCAAAGCTTTTCTCTTTTCTTCCTTAATCGTTTGGTTCAACATGGTCCTTCCAGATATTCAAGTACATCAGCTTCAACAAAACCATGACCCAGCTCTCCTCCACGCTGGCCCGCTGTGCCAAGGACATCCTGGGCTTCGCTGTCATGTTCTTCATCGTGTTTTTCGCCTACGCCCAGCTGGGCTACCTGCTTTTCGGGACCCAAGTGGAAAACTTTAGCACTTTCATCAAGTGCATGTGCGTGTCCTGCCCCCTTCACTCCTCCCTGGCCCCTCACCCTCCAGCTCTGTGGGTGTATGTATCCTTGAGGAAGCTGGGTATATGCATGTGGGTGTGTCTGTGCTTAAAGCATCTGTGCGAGTCTCTGGAGACCCTGGTGTGTGTGCTCAAGTATCTGCGCACCTCATTCTGTGTCTATCAGATTGGGTTGGAGGTGCAGGGTAAGGTCTGTCTGAGTTCACCGAAGAGCAGTAGTTAGGAAAGTGGGATGGGGGTGTGGACTGGAGTCAGGGTTAAGGTTAGGCTCTGGGTGAAGTCCAGACCCTTGTCTCTCAGTTTCACTCAGTTCCGGATCATCCTTGGGGACTTTGATTACAATGCTATCGACAATGCCAACCGCATCCTGGGACCTGCCTACTTTGTCACCTACGTCTTCTTCGTCTTCTTTGTGCTACTGGTGAGGGTCCTTCTGAAAGGTGGGGATTTGGGAACCTGAGGGGTAGAGGTATAGAGGGTCTGCAGGGTGGAGTTTTGACACTGCACCCCCATGTTCTGCATTCAGGATTATGATGGGTTTCCCAAATCAAGAATGAGGAGTGTGTTGGGGGGGATCTTCTGAGAGCTGGCTAAGGTGGTTGGTCAGTGTGCACAGCACAGTCAGGTAGTTTGCACAGTATAAAGGAGTCTGCAGGCTCCCTCACTAAAATCACACCCCTATCCGCCAAGGATGGAAAGGGAGAGAAAAATGCCTTAGGAGAAGTGGCTGCCCCTGGAAGCTTCTATGCCTATTCTCCAAGATTCCCCTTTTTCTGGGATTTCTGGCTATTTCTACTACCACTGCTTCGTATTTGTTCTCTTTCACTGCCAACCCTGAAAGATCTGGGTTTGATTTTTATTAACAAAGTCAGCAGGTTTCTTTATTTGATCAATGGATGGGGATACAGATATGGATCGGGGTAGATGATAAAGAGAGCACGATTATATTATCACCTTGAAAAGTTTCTGACTTCAGTGCTTCATGGGCCCTTATATGGAGGGGTTCTGTGGCATATGTTGGGGTATCTTTCTGGTCAGACTACTGCAGCAATTGAGTGAGGATACCAGGTTGATGAAGGGGCACGGTCCATCCCTAAGAGGACTGTGCTGAAAGGCTCTGGGGACCCTGAGGTGCCAGGGTTAGTGGGCTGCAGGCATTGGCCTCTTTAGAACATGTGTCTAGGACATTAATAGGGTCAGTGGGCTCAAAGCTGTTAGTGGGTTTGGGGGTAAGGCCCCGTGTCCCTGCTTTATCCTCCAGAACATGTTCCTGGCCATCATCAATGACACATATTCAGAGGTCAAGGAAGAGCTGGCTGGACAGAAGGATGAGCTGCAGCTTTCTGACCTCCTGAAACAAGTAACTCCTTAATCTCCTTGAGTGCACATCCGCAAAGGGGCCTGTGCTCTTGTGTGCCTTCGACTTATCCCTGGAAGCCTGGCATCTTGTCAGCGGGGGGTGGGGGCAAGGGACAATGAGGAGGATGTAGGAACTGGTGCCTGTTTCCTTTCCTCTTCTAGAGCTACAACAAGACCCTCCTGAGGCTGCGTCTGAGGAAGGAGCAGGTTTCAGATGTGCAGAAGGTCCTGCAGGGTGGGGAGCAGGAGATCCAGTTTGAGGATTTCACCAACACCTTGAGGGGGTGAGCAACCAGGGATCCAATTTTCTTGAACATTGGTCTATAAGTCCTTGACCCTCAACCACACATCCTTCGCCTATAAGCTTCTGATCTTGGCCTATGGACCTCTGACCTTGACTAATTGGCCTTTGACTTTGGCCTATAGGTCTCTGATCCTGACCTTCAGAATTGTGCCCTTGGTTTAAAGGTCTCTGACCATGTTCTGTATCGTTCTGGATCTTGTTGAACCAACTTTTAGGACTAATGTAATAATATAATTCCCTAATCACTGAATACATCCCTCACTCCCACAAAACTCTGATCTTGGTTCTATGCTCCCCACAAATACTGGTCTATTCCCTCAGCCATTCTCTCCCTGCTTCCCAGTTAAACATATTAACCAACACTGAACAAATATATTGTGAGTACCAGTTGATCATTGCTAAGGTATCCAATGAAAGGTGGAGCATAGCAAGAGATGAGGCTAGACACATGGGCAAGGGTCATATTGGAAAAGCCTCAAGCACCACTGCTCTATCCAAAGAATAGGGTGGCCAGGAGGGATTTTAAGCAGGGAAAGGATATATTTAGACCTGCACTTTAGAATGATTAATTAACTCTAGTTGTATTCTAGAGGATGGATTTCAGGGGTAGGGCACAAAGGGAAAGCCGAGGGTGGTGGGGAATAGGTTATTTATAGGCAAAGAGATTTCTTTGGGGTAAAATTGCTAAATCTTGGCGATCCTGGCTTTCCATGTGGTCCCCCTCTTCCCGAGAAAGAAAGAGTCTTGCCGGAGTCTGGCAAAAAGAGTGGGGAGTCCATAATTGAGAGATCACAGCCAAGGCATGTCAGAAGTCATTTCATTATTCTGTTCTCCTCAGACTGGGGCACACAGAGCATGAGATCACTGAGCTCACGGCTGCCTTCACCAAGTTTGACCAAGATGGGAATCGCATCCTGGATGAGAAGGAGCAGGAACAAATGCGACGGGACCTGGAGGAGGAGAGGGTGAGCCCAGTTGTTGGTGGAGAGGTCGTGTAAGGAAATTGCTTACCCTCCCTTCCCTGTCGACATGCCCAGAACACAAACACAAACTGAAAATCCTCTGATAGATGGGCAGGAAAGAGCTCTCTAGAATAGTGGTTCTCAAATTGCTACACATTAGACTACCTTGGGAGCTTTGCAAAGTCCTCATAGTCAGACCACACACCCTAGACCAGAATCTCTTGGGTGGGGGTAGTTGGGGGGCCCAGACATCAGTACTTTTAAAAACTCCCCAGGTGATTCCAACGAACAGCCAAGGTTGAGAAACATTGCTCTAAAACACAGTCTGAGGGAGAAAAGAACAATTGCCCAAGAATCTTTGACAATTCCTCCTGAGGACTTGCCTTTTCCTTGGGATTTTCAAACTCTGATCCCCAGCTGCCCCTATTATGCCTGCTTCATCTCTAGCTAGTGTAGACCAAAAAGTCTAGGGCAAGAGGGACAATGCGAGGAATTCTGGTACTGTCCCTCCTCTCCCAAACTGAGTTGGCGTTTAGTGAACACATTAATCAAAGCCTCAAGGAGCCCTTGTTTCTTTGGGTGGTGATTCCCTCTCAGAGCTTGGGCCAGCTGTGTGTCAGCACACCCCTCTGATCCCATTGTCTCCAGAGTTTGAGAGGGAAGGAGAATAGCAAGAACTGGAGCCCAAGGCTTGGGTCCTGAGAGCCCATTAGAACTGGTGATGGAACATGAACTGATGGCTTTGCAGAGTCATCTTCTCCTCTCTGACCTCTGACTTCCTGATCAGGTGGCCCTCAACACTGAGATTGAGAACTTGGGTCAGTCTATTGTGGGGAATCCACCAGGCAAGTCGCATCCAGAGGCTGCCAGAGCCAGTGGCTGGGTTTCAGGAGAAGAATTCTACACGTATGTGCAGCCCGGGGCCCAAGGCTGACTGTCTTTATAATATCCTACCTTGAGCTTCTTTCTACAACCTTCTAATCCCATGTCCTAGCCCAGGGAGAACCTCTGTCCCTTAATTCTCCCTACAAGGCTCAGCTTACCTTCCTTATTCCTATCCAGACACACATTGTTCTGTCCCGCATTCCCTTATAGACAGCCGGCTCCCCAGACACATATTTCTGCTCCCTCAGTCTCTCTCAAATCCTACACAGGCTCACAATGAGAGTTCTGCAGCTGGAGACTGCCCTGGAAGGAGTCGTGTCCCAGGTTGATGCTGTGGGCTCAAAGTTAAAGATGCTGGAGAGGAAGAGGCAGCTGGCTCCCTCCCCAGGCACGGTAAGTGGCCTTTCACCTGGATCCTCTTGGCTCTCCACAGCTGAACTCTACCATCTGTTCCACTCAGTTGGTGGAGGCAAAAAAAAACCCCAAACAATTGAGAGACCTGTTTTCAGGCTCTTGCAGCAACATGTTCTTCACAGTAGTCACTGTATCCGAGGAGGCGGGGGTAGAGGGAAGGCCTAAAGGTGGTTGCTCTGGCCTGAGGGCTGCCTTGGCCTCTAGGAGACAGTCTAGGTTTGGAGAATCAGATTCAAATAAAGGAAAGTGGGACACAAAGTCCTCTTTCTAATGACCTGTCCCTTTTTCTTCCAACAGGGGGAACAAGGCATTTGGGAGCACCTACAGCCAGCTTCAGCTGTGACTCCAGTCCCCTGGGGAGTCCAGGGTGGCCAGGAAAGTGGTGGGGAGGGGTCCTAAAGCATCAGGCAGCAGGCTCCTCTCTCACTGCCTCCCCAGAGGCCCTCTCTGCACATGCTGTCCACTTCTAGGGCAGTAGTTCCCACCACCACTGCTGCTGCCAAGTCCCACCCAGTGTTTGGCCTCTTAAGCCAATATTTCTGTAGGTAGCTGGGTATCATGCTTAGGCTTGTGACTCAAGTGTTTCTGTGTGCAGCTATGTAGCTCTGCATACTCTGTAAAATAACATTTCCCACTGGACCTCTCACTCCCTGTGCTCTAATCTCTACTGCAGTGATTTTTTTTTTAAATTAAAAAAGGTCAATAACAAACGGAAGAAAGGAAGGGAGGTTAATGATTTTCTCCAAGCATCTGGATAGCCACAATTTGTGAAAAAAGTGTAAGCCAAGAGAATAGCAATATCTAGATGTCTTTCTACTTGGCAGTGAAACCTATCCTTTGTGCATCTAGAGATCTGCTGCTGGCACCTATGAGGTTCTTGTCTTCCCCATAGTGTCCCTTTAGAAGACATGGGCAAGTCATACAGGAGAGGAGACTTTCTCAAGTGGGGAGATTACAAAGTTGCAGAGGAGTTCGCGTGACAACCTCACCAACCTCCTGGAGCAAAGTTCATGAAGGTTCAGTGGAGGAGCCTGCTGAACACTGGGAACTGAGGGGGCTGTAAACCAGGATGAAGAGGGAGCCTGAGGAGAAGCAGGGCCAAGAAACGACCTCAGGATTCAGAGGTCTTTGGACTAAAATGTGTTTTGCTCTGACTCTATTCTTCCATAGGACAGCGTGGTTTCCCTGGCAACTATCAATAAAAATCCTTAGGAAAATCAGGACTTTGCATTTGCTTCTGGGTTTGTAAGGGGAAGAAGAGGGGTGGAACTGTGAGCTATCCTTGTACTTGGGCTGGGGAAAGCTCATCCCCGCTGGGAGGTCTAGAGTGGAAACAGCAACAACGTGAAGGGGCTGGGCTGTCCCAGGTAGCCCTGAGATAAGAACTTCTGGCTCATAGAAATGGTTTGAACTGATGGGCACTATGATTATACCATTAGAGACTGGAGACAGTGACTTAGGGAAGAGAATAAGGTAGCCCTTACTCTGGGGTAGCTGGAGTGTGTGTGTGTGTGTGTGTGTGTGTGTGCGCATGTAGATGGAAGATAACCAGGGATAAGACCAAAAACTTCTACACCAAGGTTTTGACTGTATAGGTCTGTATCCCAATACCTGTTATACTTGTATACCCCCTTTCTCTTCCCCTGTAACCTTTGTCCTTCCCTCATTTTCCATCTTGCATTGCTCCCCAGTCACTTTTTCTAATCCATTGCCTCCCACTCCGCCGTTCCCCGTCCCATCAAGTATACTCTATACACCTAGGAGACGTGTGAAACAGCTAAACAGTTACGATAACCAGATTGTATTCTCAGTCCTAAAAAAGTTATGATCTATGCTTTCTTATAGAAAGGCCCAATCAACTGAAGAGCAGTAGGTGCCAGCCTGCAGCTTTAAAAAAAAGGGGGTCAAGGAGTTGGTGTTAACCCAGGACATAGGAAGGGAGAATATTTCAGCTCAGGGATCAATGCCTGACCGTTTCCCTAAGTCCCACTGAGGCTGCTTTCAAAAGCATGGATTCCCTGAGCAGCCTTTAGTGACGAATACCAGCCTGGGGGCGGAGTCTCTGGGGAGTGGGTAACCTGTCTGCGGAGACTTTGGTCAGCAGGCCACCCGGGGCTCTACCTACCCCAGAGAGGTCGTGAGTCTTGCTCGTGACTCTTCCAGGGAGTGGCCGCAGGGATGAGCGCATCCTCATTTCCAGATGTCACGACTCTTGACAGTGGATCGACTCACGATAGCCTTTCTTAGCTTCAATTTCGACTTCTTGCTTACATTTTATTACTCATTATTGTGCGGCATAACTTAGCGGAGAGACAGAGCTGCCGACCAGGGCTGGAGGGACCGTTTCCCCCCGCCCCCCCCCCCGCACTCCCGGTGCGCATGCGCATGCATCCCAGAACCGGAAGCTTTGCGGAGCCCAGCATGGCGGCGGCAACCGAAAGTGTCCCGGCGACCCAACGAGAGGAGCCGGTTCGAGGTACGCGGAGTCAATAGGGATGAAGTGTCCAGAGGGAGGCTTGGGACTCCGGGTGGGGGCCCCGGATGCTAGGACTTACTTGGCAGGAGCAGGCCGGTCGGAGGGAGGGGCGTGCCCGTGTGTGCGTTAGTGTTTGTCCTCTCAAAGCGACCGAGTGGTTTGGCCGCGGGATCGGGTGTGAGCTGGTTCGGGTGCAAGGGAGCACACAGCTGGTATGTCCGGTAGGACGAGGACGAAGTGAGGCACTTGAAATTATGGCATATGGAGAATGGAGCCGACTTAATCAAATGAGGACAGGTGGAGGGATGTGGGGGTAGGATGCGTGGTTGGATTAAGGACCCGGTGTGGGGCAGGACACTTACTCATTCTCCTTTGATCCAGACGATGCCGCCGTGGAGACTGCCGAGGAAGCGAAGGAGCCCGCTGAGGCTGACATCTCTGAGCTCTGCCGGGACATGTTCTCCAAAATGGCAATTTATCTGACTGGGGAACTGACGGGTGAGGCGGGGTCTGGGTTCTTTCGGGGAGCGCACCACTCGCTGGAGCTGCGGTTTGGCTTAGGGAGACCTGGGAAGGGCTTCAGCAGCATCAGTCAGCGGCTCCCTCCCCAACCCCACCTGCCCTGAAGTATGCCTGTTGGAAGTTTGGGGAGGTCATGAATGGAAAGGAAAGAGAGCCATTCCTTCCCTGGAGAAATTCACAAAGTACTTTCAGAAACGCATAAGGATAATTAATACAACTCTGCAGGCCTTCGTAGCGTGCACTCCCGCTGGCAAAATAAAAGAATTCATCAAGAAGTACTTCCTCCGGGGGAGTCAAGTATTTTGAGCAGGCTTGTGAAGGGAATGATTAACCAAAAAGGGGGAAACGACTAGTGAGTGAAGTGGTATCAGTGAGCAGTTTGGCTAAAGCGGCTGTATTAACTGGGGCGAAGAGAAATGGAATTGGGGAATGGGGAGTGACCTGCAGATTAGGGACGTCTTAAGTTGGCCTGAGGGTTTGGTGACTCACCCTTTAAGACATGATTAATTTTTTTGGTCTGTGGTCTATTTCCAGGTGAGCACATAATCTATGTGTGGAGGAGAATCCAAAAAGTGAAGTCTGGTCCAGTGTGGCCTCTCATAAGCAGTTATGATATTGTTTCACTTCCCCAGGAAATTCTGAGCTAAATTTGGGAGTCAGAATCTATAAGAAAAGGCTTGATGCAGAATAGAAGAGCTTATAAAGTTTCTGTCAGTCTGATTATTTATTTCTGAGCAAGAGAAACCAAGCAACAAAATCTAGATTTTTGTCTTCTCTTTAAAAATTCTAAAGATTTGGCAATACTAGTCCCCCATTCTTGTAAGCCTATGCTTGCTTGGAGCCGAGGAACTGTCTCCTTTAAATGTACTAATGTTATGTAGTTTGTCCCCGCCCTGCCTGTTTTCTCCCTTTTACTGGGACCTGGTGTCCCTTGCAATTTATCACTCTTCTTATATTGTTGTGATTTTAGTAGTGGTACAGAAATGACTTTCTGCACCAATACCTCTATCAAAATTTGTAAAGTAAATGATAGATTAAGGTGCCTACATGTTCCAAGAGCATATTTCTTTGTAGAAGTGAATAATCTTATGTGTTTAATATGTAAGCATCTGGCTTGCTTAACTAATTTATGTGATGTGGGGTGTCTCACCCTTGTTTTAAAGAGACTAGTTTGATAGTAGCAAGTATGAAGATGGAGGAGAGAAATGAGCAACACTTCAGATGAAAAGTAATGATGGTCTGTGAGAGTGATGGTATAAGGAATGGAAAGGAGGGGATGGGAGCAAGAGCATTGCCCAAGTGGAATTTATAGGAATTTATTGGGTATTGAGGGATGGGAGCAGCCTAAAATGTGTTTGAGGTTGTAAGCCTGGGTGGTGCTGTCAACCAAAATAGGAAAGCTGGAAAGAGGAACCATGTTCAGTGTGAAAATAATATTTTCAGTTTTGGTGTGGCTGATTTTAGATATTACCAGGACACTCAAGTGACTGTTATCAAGACATTCAGGTGACTTGCACATGTGAGTCCAGAGCTCAGAAAGTGATCAGAACAAGAGAAACAGGTTTGGTAGTCATCTGCAGAGTGCTGTGAGCTGAGGCTGTGCAGGATGATATTGGCAAGGGAGAGCTTAGAGCTAGTTAGGAGGGCCTTGACTAAAACCTCAGGGAATGTCGGTATAGGGCAATTAATTTGTTTTTAATAACAGCACTTGAAATACCTAGGTTTCCAAATGATTTATTTACTATAAAATTAATTTTAAGCAGATTGTAATTTCCCCCTGATTTTCACTCTTACTTTCATAAATGCTTTTATGAATTTGAAAGGAAGCTAGCATCATCCTGTGAATGCCATGGGAATGTGCCACCCATTAAACATCAGTTATGTGTCAGAGTTGAAAAAAATTGAGAACTGATAGTTAAGGAGGTTGGATGAGAAAGAATCTGGCATAGATACCTAAAAAGAGCAGTTAGAAAGAGATTAAAAATCAGTGTAATACAGTATACAATGCTGTAGCAGTCAAGAGAGAATTGCATGAAGAGAAGGAGATCATAGTGTCAGATACTATAGAGAGATTCAGGGGGAAAGTAACTGAGAAAATGCTATGGATTTCATGTTTAGGAGAGCACTGATGACCTGGGAGCATGTAATTTCTCTGGATGGCGTGGGCACAGGCTAGATTGCAAGGATTCACATGAATGAATGGTGAGGAAGGTGAAGCAATAAGTGTAAGCTACTCTTTCAAAAAAGGGTTAGTAGTGAAGCTCCTTTCCTTTTCTGAGCAAATGATATCGGTGTAGCAGAATAGAGGGAGTGCTTTTGGGCTAGAGGAAACCTGAATATATTTCTAGATAGAGAGGAAGGTCCAGGATGGAGAGAGAGATTGGAAATGCAAGAGAAAGGATTGAAGAGAGGCCCTGAAAAAGTAGAAGGGTTTGGGCTTGAGAGCACAGGAGGAGGAGTTGTCTTGGCAAAAATAGGAGCACTTCCTCCTCTTGGGAGGATATTAAGGTTCAGAGAAGTTTCAAAGTGAGGCAGAAAGGTTGAGACAGCTTATGTAAGTGGGCTTGGCTTTTGGGAAAATTGGAGTAGAAGCCATGTGCTTTGTGTAGGGATAGGGAAGGGAATTGAGGATATGAGAAGCAGGCAAATGGTTTGGAAAACTCAATGTATAAAATGCAATATAGAATCACACAATAATAAATGAGTTAGTAAGAAGTGGTGAGGTTCTAGTTGATTTTATATACATTTATGATGTAGTCCCCCAAATTTCATGTTTTTATACTGTTTTTGAAATACCAAGACTATTTCACCTCCCTTTTCTTAGGACATGAGTTTATCATTTCCCTTATTAACTGATCCTAAAGCTTCTGGATCTCATTTGGTTTAAATAGCTTGTTGATTATTGCCTGAGTTTCTACTTAGATATTCAGAGTGCACAGGCTAAGTATAAATGTCATAGATCAAAAGTGGCCTGCTCTTTTGATATTGCCTAGGTCCTGCCTTGAACCACCATTTAGCCTATAGTTCTACATTCCAGTGATTTAAGACAAATCTTAAAGGCATCACATCTTCTGTTTGTTTTAAAGCCACCAGCGAAGACTATAAGCTCCTGGAAAATATGAATAAACTAACCAGCCTGAAATACCTTGAAATGAAAGATATTGCTATAAACATTAGTAGAAACTTAAAGGACTTAAACCAGAAATGTAAGTAATAAGTTTTATAATTAAACATGTTTGTAATGAATGTTCTCTTGTGGTTGGGGCTATGGAGAAGGAGAAGGAACATGGCCCCTGTCCTTGTGGAGCTCATTTTCTAAAAGTGATTACAGGGGCTGGCTGGGTGGCTCAGTTGGTTAGAGCGTGAGCTCTGAGCAACAGGGTTGCCGGTTCGATTCCCACAAGGGCCAGTGAAGTGCGCCCGAGCTGAGCTGCCGCTGAGCTGCCAATGGGCAGCCCAGCCGGATGGCTCAGCTGGTGAGAGCCCACACTCTTAACAACAAGGTTGCCGGTTCGACTCCTGCAGGGAATGGTGGAATACATGCCCCCCGCAACGAGAATGAAAGCGGTGACTGGACTTGGAGCTGATGGGTCCTGGAAAAACACAATGTTCCCCTTCCCCAATGCCCCAACACCATTCCCTTCCTCAATTCCCCAATAAAAAAAAATAATAAAAGTGAATTATACAGTTAATATCTTCCATTCTGAGGAGTAGCATGTTTTGGTGGTATTGTTATTTATGCTTCTGAATCTTGTTTTGATCAGCTTATTTCTGGAAAGGGATGGGGGAGTGAAAGGGTAGCCAGATTCTAGTAAATTGATTTAACAATGAAATCCATAAAGAACTACTCCATAAACAGAAAACCAGACATCTATAAATGGAAACTGCTAATTTAGACTGGTAGAATATATTTTTCCATTAACTTCTTTTTATGTTCTCTGTCTCTAGGGCACTCTTTCTTGGTCTGGGAGTACCCAAAGAATAGAATCAGTAATGGAAAGATTGCTTGAGGAGCAAGGAATTTAAAGAGACAAAATTAATGGATGAGAGAGATGTGCTTTGTCTAGGTCACAGTCGTGCCTGATCAGCTAGCTACTGTCTTCTAAAACATCTGTTTTGCTAGTGATCAGAATCATGTCACCCCACCTAGTGTGTCTTAAGTAGAGCTGGAGAGAGACTAGCATTGTTACTTTCTCATCCTGTTTCCATACAACTTGTTGGCAATATAAACATGTTGTCTCACCTTATTTTTAAAGATGCTGAACTGCAGCCTTATCTGGATCAGATCAATGCAATTGAGGAGCAGGTAGCAGTTCTTGAGCAGGCAGCCTACAAGTTGGATGCATATTCAAAAAAACTGGGTAACCATTTTAATTTCTGTTTTGATTTAATAAGAGTATCCCCCTGCCACCAGTATGACCTTGGGTGATATGATAGTTAACATTTACAGTGTGCCTACAATGATCTATTTTAATCTTCACAAAAATGTAGTGAAAATTTTTTATTAGTAGTAGTAATAAAAATAACATTTCCTGAGTACTTAATGATATATCAGGCATTGTTCTTTACGTCTTACCTATATTATGTTTCTTTATCCTCTCAATAATCTATGAGGTAAGTACATGATTTTTATTCCCACTCTGTAGAGGAGGGAACTGAGGTTGAAAGGGTTCAATAACTTGCATAAGGATGCAAAGCTTGTATGTGGGAGAGGTGTATTCCAAACCACAATCTGTTTAATTACAAAGCTCAAACTCGTATAATTGTGGTTCATCAGGCTGAAGCATCTTTGATAATGTAGATACATATGTCTTAAAAAAACAAAATAGTCAATCAAGAGTTTTCTTGAAGGATTACTTTTCCTTTGAGGAGGAAACTGGTACTTTTAGTGTTGATGGCTTGCTAACTGGCTGTGGCTCTTAATATCCATGATTAGAAGTAACAAAGTTGTTTTTATCCTAGATATAATTTACAGATTATTTTCATCATTGACAGTTGTTGACTATTTCGATAGTGGCTTGTAGCAGACTGAAATTTGACATGAGTGGTGATTAGCAGTTTCATTGTCCACGATTACATTTACTAAATAGTCACTGTGAACCTTGCTATGTAGGAGGCATTGTATGAGGTGCTTTCAATGTTTTAAAGAAAAAGTGAATCTATTACATGAAGAGGCTTATTTGGTGGTCTTTTAAATCTTTGTAGCTTTCAAAATTTCTTTCCTAGAGTGAGGGGTAGGAATAAGAAAGTAAAAGGCGAAACATACATTTATACTTCCTGAGAGTTCCAGGCTGTCTACTGGAGGGTGCCTGAGACAGTGCCTGAAGAGGCAATTTCCTGTGCTTAGTAAGTCTCCTGCTGGCTCAAATAGCAGTAGATCTGCTTACTCCAGTGGAGCTGGTAGAGCCATCTGAGCAGGTGCTGGACAGGGTTAGAACAGAATGAACTTGTGTTGGGTTCTCTTTGTGTGTGTGTTTGACTTCTTACCTTAAGCTGTGCACATCAGTGACATTTGGGCAGATATCCAAATACCTGTCCTTAGATAATATGATAGCTGACATATATGGTGTACCTACAGTTTGGACACAGTTTGGCCAGCTGATGAGATTGAATCTAATATACTTTTTAAAAGCATAATAGACATTTTTTAATTTGCTTGGAAATGCTAACAAAAAAGTATCTTTGTAAGAGCCAGTTTTTAAAAATACAACTTCCCCTCCCTACAGAAGCCAAGTACAAGAAGCTGGAGAAGCGATGAAAAAACTTATTCCTGTGGAACAAAGTCTTTTTTCATGTGGAAGAATATTTTATAAGACCTGAATCCTGAAGCTGAAGAATTGTCAAAACTCCTCAAAAGGAAGCCATGCTGGCCATCCCAGAAACATCCCACCTTTGGAGTAAACTAGAGGACTGTGGCTACTCCTGCATTTTTCTTGGAGCAGAATCCCTCAGAAACTCACACTTAAAACCCCTTACCTTTTACTTGAATGCTTCATTATCCGTTCAGGACAAAGAGTCTCTCAAAGTTCAGGATAAACCTGGGCTTGCCAGTCGAATCACATGAGAGGCCCTATTTTCTCTACATTATTTTCTTAAGTGGCTGGATTTTGAGTTACTGTAAATGGTTGTTTTTTCTCTTAACGATGCTACCGTATTGCTAACAAGATTAAAAAAAAGAAAATAAAACAAACTTGTTCTTTATGGTTTATCATCTTGTGAATGTCAGTAATTTACTTTTCCATAACATTGCAAATAATAGAAAATCTTAAAATAATTTCAGGCTGAGTCTTCAAGACAGAGCAGAAACAGTGAAAAGAGTGTTGTGGTAGTTTGGTGTATGCGATGGATCCTTCCTGTCTCTTCTATGTGCGAGTCAGATATCTGGGGATGGACGACATTGTGACATGTGCTCCCTTTTAGAAATGTGATAAAGACAAAGACAGGATGTGTATGTGTGTGTTTATGTGAGATGGGGAGGTAGGGCTGCCATTCATAAAGTATTTTCTAAAATATCTTCCTACTTGTGTCTGCAGGGTCAGGGGGGCTCCTGGGTACCTGATTGTCTTCCTTTCAGACTAAAGACATCAGTGGAGAGAGGATACTGACTGATCAGTCTAGTTTGGAAGACAGGTAACCTTATCCAGAGTTGGGTGTTAGCAGTTAGGAAGGTACCTGAGGTCCCTAATTCCATCTCCAAAACGACTTCTTTTTTTAAAGTGGTGAAAAAGCAGTTTATTAGAAAGGATAGTAAACTCCACAGAAATGGGAGCAGGCCCGAGCAGTAGAGAGAGACTCAAGGGCCATTAGTAGGAGAGAAAGTCCACTCCAAAGAGTCTGGAGAGGGCCCGAGCAGAGGCAAGGCTCAAAATGCTCAAAACGCTTCAGAACGGTTCTTAATTTCCATTCCTCACTATCTCTGTTCCAAACTACCATTGTTTAGCCTCTGCTCCTCTGGACTATTTCATTTGTCCTGCTCTAATTATTTCCTGCCTTCTGCTAACTTAGGGCTTAGTTTGTTCTTTTTCTAGTTCCTTAAGGTATAATGTTAGGTTGTTTATTTGAGATCTTTTCTTTTTCTTACCAGAGAGACATTTATAGTTATAAACTTTCCCCTTAGAGCTGCTTTGCTGCATCCATAGGTTTTGGTATGTTGTGTTTCCATTTTCATTTGTCTCAAGATATTTTTTATTTTCCTTTTGATTTCTTTTTTGGTCCATTGGCTGTTCAGGAGTGTGTTGTTTAATTTCTACCTATGAGTGAATTTTCCAGTTTTCCTCCTGTTAGTTGAATTTTAGTTTCATACCAATGTGGTTGACATAATTTCTATCTTCTTGAATTTGTTGAGACTTGTTTTTGTGGCCTAACATATGATCTACCCTGAAGAGTGTTCCATGTGCACTTGAGAAGATTGTGTATTCTGAAGCCAGACTCGGCATGCATACAAGGCCCCATTTCCTTTTTTCAATCTTTTTTTTTTTTTTTTTTACTCTCATACTTACATCGTGTTCAGCTGTCTTTTTTTTTTAATTAAAATGTATTGGGGTGACAATGGTCAACAAAACTACATAGCTTTCAAGTGTACAATTCTATAATACATCATCTGTATATTGCATTATGTGTTCACCACCCAGAGTCAGTTCTGTGTTCAGCTATCTTGATCTACCTTAATTCCTATGAATGAGTTTTCTTTTCATAAGCTTTCTGTTTTGCAATAGATTTAGAATTGCAGGAAACTTTCAAAGATAATACAGAATTCCATGGATGAGTTTTCATATCTTACTGTTGTTTCCTCTTCCTGAAATTATTACCCATCCATGTTTGGCAAACTTCTACTCTTCAAGATACAGACTTGATATCCACTCCTGGGCTTTATTACCCAAAAAACATGCTTAGTGTGCCAGCAAAGCAGGGCCATTGATATTTATGAGGCAGAGAACTTGATATTTCCAAAAAAAGCATTGCAGAAGTTGTGAGGAACACCAGGACTTTGTTGTTCCTCCTTAAGCTTATTAATTTTGAATTGCTTGGCTGCCCATTGTGAATCTTCCACGCCCCTCAATTGTCAGGATCTCTCACCTTTGTTTCCATTTCCTTACACACTGTTGTCTCCTACCAGCTGGCTTGAACTCTCCAAAAAGTCAATGTCATGAAAAACAAAACCAAAAAGGTGGGTGGACTATTGTAGATGAAGAGTTAAAAAATAGAACCGAATGCAAGTGTGAAACCTGACTGGATCCTAAATGAAAACAAATGAAGGTATAAAATAAATTTGAGAGGATAAAGGAACTTTAAAATATGGATGTGTGTTAGGTGATATTGAACTAATGTTAATATTCTTAGGTGTGTTAACGGTGTTATGGTTAAAAAGGAGACGTTTTTATTAGAAAATTGCATGCTGAGGTATTCCTGATGTCTGCCATTTACTTTCAAATGACAGCGAGAATAAAAGTGCTTGTGCACCTTGAAAGAGAGAGGGAGAGAAAGGGAGAAAATCTGGCAACATATTGAGACTAATTGAATCGAGGTGAAGACCATTATTCCTTTAACTTTTCGACAGGCTAAAAACCTACAAAAAGCGTGTTTGGAGGGCGTCTGTCTTACCACTAGAGTGCCACGGTTAGGTGAGGCCAGGTTAGGGCCGAACATTGTGCCCAGAGCTTCCGAGCAGCTCAATAACTTCAAATGCCCCGAAATAAAAAATCATAATGAGATTCCTTTTTCTCATCTCCCCTTCCTCCTTTGCTCTTCTTATGAATTCCTCACTGAGGCGAAACCACCCGAGAGAGGCTTCTGTGCCTCGGCGCCCGCCGTAGATGAGCGAATCCTCATTGGCTGGGGTGTGCTGATGTCTTATTGTGGTGCGGCCCCTTTTTTCTGAGGTGCGCGGGTCCTGTTTCCCAGTTTATGGTGGTGGTTCTAACCCGGGCTGTTGGGACCGATGGCTCAGACACCACTGCGCCTGTGAGTGACCCTGAATCGGAAGTGTGTGTGTGTGTGTGTGTGTGTGTGCGTGTGTGTGTGCGCGCGCGCGCGTGTGTGCGTGTGTGCGCGCGCCTGTGTTTGCCCCAGAGGGTCCTTTTCAAAGAGGATGAGTAGGCGGGGGTGGGAGCGGGGCCGCAGCTAGTGAGCTTCCATCACGTCTTTGCCTGCCTGCGGCCCGCATCATTTCACGGCTGTTTTCGCTTCGGAGTCGGGGGGAACTCTTGGTGACACGTGCTGGGAGAAGCGGAAGCGCCCAGCGTCAGGCCTCCTCTGTGTTAGGCCGTGCTGGCCTCTGACACATCAACCCCCCCTTCATTTTCTCCCCGCACTTTATATATTAACAAACATTTCTAGGCATGGGACCCATTGTTGGACCCTGGGCAGGATAGACAGGGCCTCTGCCCTGGCGCACTTTTTTTGCGGGGGGGGTATGGGGGGTCGTGAAGAGAGGACTTCCATTCATCCATTCAACAAATATGCAGCAAATGCTTACTGAACAATTGCAGTGTGTGCCCGGCACTGTGGTAGGCGTTGCACAGATGGAGTTCCTGCCTTCATGTAGCTAATAGTCCAGAAGAACAACAGATAGTAATCAAAGAACCCAGATAAACGTAAAATTATGGTAGTGATAACGTGTCAGGAAGAAAAAGCTGACCGTTCTGGGAGGAGCATTTGCCTCAATGGGAGGAACCAGGGCAGTGAGGATTGAGCCTTGGTTAATATTTTTATCTTTATCCTTAAAAAGTCATTGAATTGTTGAAGAAATTGTCGTTTTGGAAAGCGATTCTGGCAGCTTAATTTGTGTGAACAAATTAGAGCCAAAGTAGAGGACAGCTAGGATTAGACAGAGTGATGGCAGAAGAAAAATGCAGGGAATTCATGGTTTATTAAGGAGAGGAAATCAACAAGGCTTGGAGATGGTTTGCTTGTGAGTCAGGAGTCAGCACTGTCCGGGTCCTAGATTTCTATCTTTTTTTTCAGTGGGATAGAAAACACTGGAAAAGGGCCCAGATGAGGAGATGATGAATTTTGAGGTGTCCTATGATGTACTAACTGGCCATGAGTCTCCCAGAAACAATTATAATTCCATGTGACAGCTGCTGTGAGAAACTGCAGGATCCAGCGGAGGCACCAGGAATTGATGACTGATACTGACCGCAGGGCTTCCTAGAAGAGGTGGTGCTCAGAAAATAAAACGGCTTGCTCTGAAATGTCGTATGGATTTCTGAAGGTTCGAGAGTGACTTTCTGAGCTGGTCAGGAAGACTTTAGAGATGTGTTAGGCCTTGAAGGATGGTAACATTTAGACTCAGGTGGGACTGTTAGAAGAAGTAACTGCCCTGGGGAATGGCAGAAGCAGACACTGATCAGATGGACACTAGGGAAGGTTTCTGTTAGGGAAACTTGGAGAAGGCACTGGGAAGAGAGATGAGGGACTTGTGGAAGGCTGTGATTCTGCAAGCAACGGAGTTCTCTTTAATGTTTTTGAGGTTTAGACTGTTGGGTGTATGTATGAAGGATGGATTGGAAGAGGAGAAGGCTTAGAAGAAATGTAGCATATTCTCTACTTGTACCCAACACCCAGATTCATTATATATCTCTCTGATTCTGCCCCTGCTATATCACAGGATTCAGTTGCTCAGCCTTGCAGCTATCCTCCATTCCTCGTTTTCCCCTCATTTCCCATCCTACTTCTCTCCAATTTGTATTCAGGTCTTCAGAATTCTAAATTTCTCATCTGTTTCTCTTCTCCATCTTCGTCTGACATTGCCCACTTTGCTGATATTTTTGCTGACAGTCAGTTGTTCCAGACTGTCTTGCACGCTTTACTAAAATGATCCAAGAGAAATGTGACCGTGTCACTACCCAGCTTGAAAATGTTCGGTGGTATGGACAATAAAAGCTCACCAGAGATACATAATGGCAAAACAGTAAGAACTATATTTCAGGATGAGCTAAAAGACATTAAGAAAATGATATGAGAGTTGGGGAAACCATATAAATCAGAATTACAAAAACTCAGAAATGAAAACTACTTGGCAACGTAGGGCCAGTTTGCTTCATGAACCTCAGCTCTTGCCACTTTCTACCGCCCTGCCCCATGACACTTTACACATACCTCCTATTGTAGCCCTTTTCATATAAGTTTATAACTATCAGAATATCTCCCCTTCCCTGATTGATTGTAAACTCTTTGAGGCTTGAACTGAGCCTTCCTCCTCTCTGTACTCCTAACATGCTCTTAATGTAGTACTTGGCATATTGCACTTAGCACATTGTGGGTGTTCAGTACGTGTTTGTTGAATGGATGATTGAAGCCCTGTACTAAGATAGTGACAGTGGAAATATAAGGGACAGAATGGGTGTGTAAGATGTTTGGAAAAAGGGATTGATGGGACTTGGTGCCTGGCGGGGAGATTTCTGATGCTCGATGACCAAGCTGGTGATAGACCAATCCACAGAAGTTGGGAAGTGAGGAGATGAAGCTGGCTAAATTGATAGCTAAATTTTAGGTATGGCAAGTTAAAGGTGTTAGTGAGACCTTTAGATGGAGCTAGCTGCCCAGTGGACAGTAATAGTTCACATGTACTGCACCTCTCAGGAAACATCATATCTACCTGATCCAGGAAGAGTACCAAACTTGGCAGGCCTGTTCATATTACCTGAATTGTCTTAATGTTTATCTCTTGTTTGCAGCTTGGCTTGTGGAGATGTTGAAGGAAAGTTTGATGTTTTATTCAATAGAGTTCGAGCAATTCAGAAGAAAAGTGGAAACTTCGATGTAAGATGTTTCTTTTTACTGAATTTAATTTTACTGTTGTAGTCAAACATACCAAAATAAAGTTTGGGCTCCTTTATTCATTTCTCGACTGAACACATACTCTATTTTTGTTAGATTGAGTTCGTTTTGTGAGCCTAGGAACTTACTAGCTGCCGAGTGGTAGGGGAAGGGAGACCTGTTTACCTTTTTATGCTGTTTGAATGTCCGTCTTGTTACTTTATTACAGTTCACCAAACTGAAAACAGACTAGCAGAACGTCCATCCCTACGTGATTCTGACCACTGGGTTTGGGAAGCGCAGATGTGTTTCATGACTGTACAGTACAAATTAAGTCAGATAACATATGAGCAAATGCTTCACAAACCAGAGAACCTAATATAAATGTTATGTGTGGTTCCCAACTAGACTGTAAACTAGACTACTGAAGAGTATTATAGGTATCGGGATAATACGTTGATTGGCTTAAAGGTTGAGTAAAGGCAACAGTTAGGAAATGTGTTTTTTATGCCTTGTATTTCTCAGGGTAGCTAATAATTAAAGTTCTGTATTTCACAGAGAGATTCTTCAAGGTTGATTTCTCCATCTTTCCCTAGACCCCCTCTTCCCCATCCCCAACTTGAACTTGACAGCCAGTGAGCCAAAATTTCATAGTTTATAGAATCAGAGTAACTATTACAATTGTTGCTGAAGAATTTATGTATTGAAATTCTGGAAATTGATTAAGGAAAAAGCCTGGTTTATGACCATTACTTAGGATAATTAGCTGAATAATGTTACTATCAATTATGTACTCATAAAAAAAATCTCTTATCTGTTTAAAAAACTCATTTTAGCTGCTGTTGTGTGTAGGAAATTTCTTTGGCTCCACTACAAGTGCTGAATGGCAGGAGTATAAAACTGGCATCAAGAAAGGTATGGAAGTTATTTTTATTTAACAAATGATTTCTAGCAAAGTTTCAAGGCTGCAGAGTTCTTGCTGGGGTTTTTCTCACACGTGTTAGTTATTTAAGGATTTCCCTTTGAACTCTGCATGGAGCTGGGAAGGATGCATATGCATAAATGTTCACATTTCAAATTGGGTTGGATTTAGTTTCAGAAAAATCATTCGAAGTATGCAGGAATTAAATAAATGCAACCATATGTGCCTTTTCATTTTTCCAAAACTAGTGTTTTTTTTTTATTATTAAGCTCTTTAGGGTCTATGTTTTCTAATTATATATTGACCATCGTCTTTAAAATGTCACTTCATCAACCTAGTGATACCATTTAATAGGCTGGCCACAGGTTGAGAGTTGGACATCCTCACTGGTGAGCATGTTGGATCTATAGGATTGCAGACTCTTTACTTTTGCTATGATTGTCTTTCCTATGGGGAAGCATTTCTCAAGTTCCAAAGCAGTTCTGGTAAACTCTACGGTGTCATGTCTGTTTTTCTCACTAGCTCCTATTCAGACATATGTACTAGGTGCCAACAACCAGGAAACAGTAAAATATTTCCAAGATGCTGATGGGTGTGAATTAGCTGAAAACATTACTTATCTGGGTAAGTGGCTACTTTTTGTATTTTTAATGAACATAATAAAGAGTCCCTAGGAATTACTGTCTCAGGAAATTTGTGGCTGGATTCTTCTGCCATTACCGTCTGAGAGAATGGGGATTGTGGGTGGGTGGGGGGATTCTTTTTCAAAGTCTGTGTCTATATACCTTCAAGACTATTGCATTTTTTTCGTTGGTGGTCTGTCCTACCTCCCTTCAATCTCCTTATGTTCCCCAAATCAAATATATACTCTTTCAACCAAATAGAGGACTTGACTACAGTACATCGAGTACTTAAAGTATAAATTATGTTAAAGAAAATTCCATCTGTGTGGTCTTACCATATAACATTGCTAGATATGTACAGCTTACTTGTTAGATTCCTAACTAGCTATAGTTCTAGGTTTCACTAAGGTTTTGGGAACTCAAGTTTTCAGTTCTGATCCTTGGGTTTTTCCCCTCCCTTTGTCCTTTTTCTGGTTCCAGGTCCACTCTTTAATTCCAGGTTAAAGTCGTTCCCGCTCCACCCCCTGATTCATCTTTTCGTGATTCATTCAATATCTGGCTGTTTTAAAAAGCGCTGTCAACTTTTGCTTTTGTTTTCCTGTTACCATTGTCAGTCTACAGCCTCTTGGATTATTAGCTCATCTCCCCGCCCCCCCGAATGGCTCCACTGCTCTTCACGTTTCCTCTTTCTTGGTCTTCCATTTCTCTGAAATGCTTATGCATCATCTTTGCTGTAGATGCTCTTCCTCCCCCTCCTCACCGTAGTCCATCTTGGCCTTTGCTCTCCACATCTCACTGTGGCCCTCCTGTGCGCAGTCTCAACTTGTTTCCATTGCATGAGACTCCTTTAGGCAAAAAATTGAGGGACAGGTTTTTGTTTGTTTTTTTAAACCACAGTTGTGAGATATACATCCTTTTGTTGTAGTTCCTAACATGGGCCTGACTTATGGCAATTCTCACTGTAGTTATTAGATTTGGATTAAGACCACTGCTGTAGATATTTATGGCAGCCATTTTACCATTGAATTTAGTATCAGGAGTGGAGAGAGCAGCTGAAGTATTTGGGTTATTTCTGTGGAAGAGATTTTTTTGAGATCCAGTAGGAGGAGCAAACAATGAACTTTATTGTGAACTTGTGATACTGAGCTTGAAATGCTGGCAGAACACCCAACATACAGTCGGATATGATCTTTTTAGAGTTAATAACAAGGTCAATGTTGAAGAGTATAGATTTTGGAGAGTTGGTCCCATAAAGATGAAAATTAAAGCTCAGAAGAGGATCAAATTGTTAAGGAAGAAATACAAAGAGAAGGGAAGCAGTCAGATGGTAGTACGTTGTGGTGGGGTCATGTATCTTCATCTAGAGGGTAGGCAAAGAGAGGTGAAAGTGATTAGAAGAATGTGGGGAGAGGTAAAAATAGTACCAAATTCATGGATTCGAAATGGAGAGAGAATAGTTTTAGGAGTAGAGAGCACTGGTGATCAGTGACGTTTAAGAGAATGGGTGGGAGAGGGAAGCTAGATTGCATTGGGTTAAGGAACTAATTAAGAGGTAAAGCACTTAGAGAGGACAGATTGCTCTTGAGAAATTTGAAACTGAAGAGGAAGAAATTTCTTCATCAGTTAGTATGTGTGTTCATTTCTTAGTTAGCATGCATGTTTGTTAGTATATGTATTAATTAGTAAGCTTAATGTCCTATTTTCTGAGTGGAAAGGACCAGTTGAGAAGAAACTCAGTAGATGAAGGGAAGGTGAAAACTGATGGAGCAAGGTCTTGAAGGCATAAGTGAGAAATAAATTGAGAAGAGGGTAGAGTCTCTAATTTTTCCCAAACAGTTGTCCTTTTGAAATGTTTTCCTTTCATTGGAAGCTGCTGCCTACATGCAGAATACATTTATTCCAGACTCCATCATCCTCAGAACTGCAGTTATTTTGTCTTCTCACTGTCTCTCCTATGTCCAGGTGTCTGGGTTTCTTTGAATCCATGCAGAGTCTGCTCTAGAAGGCAGAAAGCCTTTCTCTTAATTAGTGCTTCACAGCTTTTTTCATTTGTAAGGCTCCTGGGGTGAACGGACTGGCCATTGGGCTCCAGCAACATCCACACAGGGCTGCTCTTACTGAACAGGAATCGTGCTGGAGCCATCCAACACTGAGACCTCCCAGCCAGAAGGGGGCTCTAGGAGAATTTACACTCATTCAGACACGTTGAAAGGCAGGGAAGCAGGAGACTCATGGCGTGGGGAGAGAGATGCATCATCATAGTGACATTTCATTTTGCAGTGTTGACTAAAACTTGTCTGTTTTTCTTTGAACCCAGGTCGTAAAGGTGTCTTCACTGGAAGCTCGGGGCTGCAGATTGTGTACCTCAGTGGGACAGAGTCCTTAAATGAGCCAGTCCCAGGTTATAGTTTTAGTCCCAAGGATGTGTCTTCCCTGAGGACAATGCTGTGTTCAACACCCCAGTTTAAGGGTGTTGATATCTTGCTCACATCCCCGTGGCCCAAGTATGTGGGGAACTTTGGGAATTCTTCTGTGAGTAGTGTTTGTTCAGTTGGAATTTCTAAAAGCAAATTGCACTGGCTTAATCTGGGCTTTGTTTGCTCTTTATATTGAATATTTCAGCTCTTAGTACCTTTCAGTAGAAATTTTCTGTGAATTTTTTCAGGATGCCTACAACTAGACCAACTAACCAAAGTGAAAGTCAATCGTATGGGAAGCACAATTCACAGATGAGATTGCTGAAATCTTGGTTATAAACGAATGATTCTTTAAATTATATACTCTGCTTCAGGTGCCCCCTCTCAAGCTTCCTCTTAATGTGTTTTGAGGGTTTACTAATTTTTAGTGAAAAGATTTACAGCTAGTGGCAGCTGTGCAGTTGTATTTCTTCCCTTCCATTACAAATTATAGCTCTTTGGCTGTCAAATTGTTTTTTAAAAATGGATTCATTATGGGATCGAAGATTGAAAGATCTAAAGATGGAAAATGAGAGGCTGAAAACTTGGTGCTTCTCTAATGTGAAAGCTTTAATGTTGTGCACTGGAGCTCACCATAGCACTTGATCTTAATATTTTTATAAGCAGTCTAAAAGAGGATGTACACCAGGTTGGTGAGTGACAGCTATCCTGGGCCGGGAAATACTGTATTGATAGAAGTAAGCCTAAGGAAGATCTGGAAAAGGTGTGTATGAGGGCAGAAAGCATCAGCTGAGCTTCAGTGAAGGGAAATGTAAGTGCATTTGGGGCAAATGTCAATTGACAGATGCCCAGTTATCAGTGATGATCCAGAAAAGGGCCTTGTCAAGCAGTGTCTGCTGCTTCAGCACAATGTGTCTATGACCAAAAATGCCAACAAAATACCAGGCATTGTCAGGGAGGATGCCGAAAGGAAAAGGGGCAATGCTGTGTTCCCTTTCCACAAGCCCGTGCTTACTTGTTAACCTAGAATACTAAGGGCAGTGCCAATTGCAGTGTAGCGAGGATACAGCAAAGCGAGGGAAGGTCCACGGGATTACTAAGCTGATGATGGTTGGGAGACAGACATGATGTTCTGTAAGGAAGGATGAGAAGAATGAGGTCCCTTCATTTCAGGGGTGCAAAAAAAGGGTTTTGATGAACGTTTCTAAATAACCATACAAGATTTAGGGGAGAAAACAATACAGCTCACCAGTCCCTAAGATACTACAGCTAATCTCAAGACCAACTCGCTGCCCTTCAGCAGAAACCTGAACGAGGGAAGCCTAAGATAAAAGGAAGCTCTTGCTTTACTTAGTGGAAAATCGACTTTGGCGACTTCTTTATTTCCAGCTAATAAAGAGTTCATAAATAACTTGAGGGATGAGAGATGGTATAATTTGTTAATGGAAGCTAGGGATGTTCTGGGAACAAGCCTAATTTTTGACAAACTTTGTTGCAAACTTTACAAGGGCATGGTTGCGCCCTTCCACAAACCACGCCTTCCTTGACTGAAGCAAAATAAAGGATTGCATGCTTATGTGATGAAGTCTTTGAATATTCCATATGAAATATTCTGTGGACCCTAGGGGCCCTGGAAGCTAGCTTAGGTTTTATTTTCTGCCTTGACTATAAGCACTAGAGGCACACAACAAAGCAAATTATAGAAGCATAGTCTGTGGGCTTCCGAGAGAGAGCTTACTTTCCAAAGAAGATCTTTGTAGGTTTAACAAACCCTGTTTCGGGTATTGTAGTATGGAGGACTTACCTTTTAACCTCTAGCTTCCAGCAATTGTTCCTATTTCTTCATCCATACTAGCCCAGTTCCCTTATGTGTTGCAGATTTCTCTGATTGCCCTAAGTATGGAATTTACTATGCAAATCCTACTGCCTACATTTGTATCCACATACAAATATCAGAGACCTCAAAGTGTCTTATTATTTCTTTGCATTTCCTGGTAATGCTTCAATTTGTTAAGATGACTAAGTTTCTGTTTACTAGGGAGAAGTGGATTCCAAAAAGTGTGGCTCTGCTTTGGTCTCCAGTCTCGCCACAAGCTTGAAACCAAGATACCATTTTGCTGCTTTGGAAAAGACCTATTATGAGAGGCTTCCATATCGGTGAGTAGCATTTTGTTCTTTTTGGCTCTTTGAAGAATTTGTCTTGGGCCTCCTGTGTAAACTTCTCATGCTCTTTTCAGCCATATAACATCTTACTTAGTTCCTTTTAGTTAGTCAGGCACTGAAATGAGTGACTCTCAAGTTCAACTTCTCTGAGTTTGTTTCCTAGTTTGAAATACAAGGAATTGCAATGTACAGACCCCCTGAAATGTTTGAGGGGCTGTCTTAAAGCCCCCAACCCTGTGTGAACCCTTCTGACCTCTCTCACCTTCTTCCATAGTCAGTTCCCTCTGACTCTGTTTTGGTTCCTTCTTCCACTTTTAAGGAGGTAATAATGGTGTTTAGTCGTCATGGCTTGATATAGCACAGTAACTCCTGTTTTGATCAGGTCAAATAGTACTCTTTGTATAGTCTTCATATCAGTGTAATCACTTCAGAAGTATTTCAATTTAGGAATCAAGAACTTGTTTCAATTTTTTTCTTTTCTTTTTTTTAATTTGAGTTTGGAGGTGGAGTTTTTAAAGGATGTATTGCAGAGAAAATAAAACCAGTGATTAGAGTTAACTCTGAATTATCTTCACTATAAAATAAAGGACATAAACAATCCCTAAAATAATTTATGAAAACTTTTTGTTACACAAAAGTAACATATGTGTTGTTGAGAGTTCAAAAAATATAGGTGAGCAAAAAGGAGAAAATAGCCTGCCCTAATAACCTGCCCTTTCCCCATAATACCATAGCCTAAGATATAACCATAGGTAATACAGATTTTCCTGTTATATCTCCATATAACATTCCAGAAAATCTCGTTGTTCTCTGAAATCATGCACTGAAAACAGGTTATGGGAACAAGCCACACGAAACCTGTTCAGCTTTTAAGGATCTTAATACACATTTCTCTGGAAAACATATACCAGTGGCCAATAGGCATGTGAAAAGATGCTTACACCATTAGCTATTAGGGCAATTCAAATCAAAACCACAATGAGATACTATTTCACACCTACCAGGATGGCGGTAATCAAAAAGGTAAATAATAACACGTATTGGCAGGGATGTGGAGGAATTGAACCTTCATACATTGCTGGGGGCAATGTAATATGGTGCAACTGCTTTGCAAAACTGATTGGCGGTTCCTTAAAGGGTTAAACATAGGGTCACCATATGACCCAGCAATTCCACTCCTTTTCCAAGCGAAATGAAAACAATTCCACACAAAACTTGTACACAAATGATCATAACAGCATTAGTAATAATTGTTCATAATCGCCCAAAAGTGGAAACAACACAAATGTCCATCCCCTGATGAATGGTACAAAAAATAAATAAATAAAATAAAATAAAAGAGGTATATCCATACTCTGGAATGTTATTCAGGAAGAAAAAGGAACGGAGTACTGATATGTTGGGGGAACCTTGAAAACATTATTCTAAATGAAAGAAGCCCGACACAAAAGACCCCATATTATATAATTCCATTGATATGTGATGCCCAGAGTAGGCAAATCCATAGAGAAGGTAGGTAAGTGGTTGCCAGGGGCTGGTTAGAGGGAAATGGGAAATGACTCCTAATAGGTACGGGGTTTCTTTTTTCCGGTGATGAAAAATGTTCTAAAGTCAGATGGTGGTGATGTTTGCACAGCTCTGTGAATATCCTAAAAACTATTGAATTGTATACTTTAAATGGGTGAACTGTATAGTATTTGAATTAGCTCTTAATAAAGCTGTTAAAAAAAAAACCCCGATACAAAATCCTAGACAACTTTTTAACCAGAGCTATAACAAAAACCCATAACTATTATAATAAAAAAATACTAGCATGGTTAAAGCTCCACTAACCTTTGCACCTAGAATTACAGTCAGTCCATGCTTTGCATCCCTGTATTGTGAGTCTTATGCTTCCTCCTTTGGGGAGCAATTTATCATAATTAGAAACACCATTCAAGGGTAGCATTCTTCATTAGCCATTTTTATTTTCAAATAAATGAGGGAAACATCTTCCCAACTTTTTGATCTGTACTTGCAGTTTCCCTGTGTGTTAGTTTTCTATTGCTACTATAACAAATTACCACACACTTTGTATATCTTAGAACAATACAAATTTATTATCATACAGTTCGGCAGGTTAGAAGTTTGGCACAGGTCTCACTGGACTCAAATCAAAGTGTTGGCAGAGTGTGTTCATTTCTGGAGCCTGTAGGGGAAAATATATTTCTTTGCCTTTTTCACCTTCTAGAGGCCACCTTGGTCTCTAGCTCACGGCTCCTGTGTTCTATCTTAAAGCCAGCAACCCTGTGTGAATCCTTCTGACGACTCTCACCTTCCGTAGTCACTTCCCTCTGACTCTCTTTCGCTTCCTTTTTCCACTTTTAAGGACCCTGGTGGTTATGTTGGGTCTACCCAGGTAGTCCAGGATCATCTTCCTATCTTAAGGTCAGTTGATTAGCAAGTGATTAAATCCTAGAAAAATGAAATCATCCTATAGATTATTATTTTATTTGAAACTTTTTTTTTCCACTTAAAGCTCATTTCTTTTTGGTTTTCATTATTATAGCTTTTTAATTACACAAAAGAAAACAGGATAATGAACCCTCCTGCACTCATCACTTAGCTTCAACAATTATCAACATTTTGCCAATTCTACAACTCTTTTAAAACTAAAAGTTGGGAGTTTTTATGCTTTTCAGATATGTGATGTTATTTTCCCCTAAAAACAGTCCTGGGAGGTAGGGATGCTTATCCTACTAGATGGACAGGTAACATCTGAGGTTATGTTACTGGTGGTGATGGACTCAGGACTTTTCATGGCACCATGAAAAAGAAAGTCTACATCTTTTATAATTGTAAATCAAAAGTAAAGTTTGTTGGTAACCCTTTATTCTCTCAAATACATTATAGAAACCACATCGTTCTGCAGGAAAACGCACAGCATGCCACCAGGTTCATAGCTCTGGCAAATGTTGGAAATCCAGAAAAGAAAAAGGTAAAGATTTGAGTATTTGTGGGTAGGTTAATATTCATTGTCTGTCTGATAAATGTTTCTCTTACCCAGTTTAGCATTCAGATCTTCTCTTCTTTCCGACCACAATGTCCCAGCACCTCAGTGACTCCTTTGTAAAGATATGGTAATGAAAGGTCAGGTTTCCTGAGGTCCTGTGTGGGAGATTTTAGAGAAGGGTTTGGGAAAATAGGCCCATTGGAACCAAGGCAAAATTTCAAATGAATACTGTTTCTTCCCACCTCGATATGGTTGTCTCTGAGGGTATTCATGAGTTTCCCCTCGGACGGTACTCTTGCTTTGCTGCTTTTAGCAACTTCATTTAACAGAAATAATAAAGTCCTCCCAAGGTTTTACCTGAGCCCTTCTTGGCTTTGGGAAATCTTAGTGATACCTGGAGTCTGTCTTTGTACTAGAAAACAGTGCAGGTGAAAGGAGAATATACTAGAAAAGTACGTTATTTTTCTTACTTTCCTGAGAGCATTTTTGATTCTGTAGGGCCAAAAGCAGGATATTGTGGATTGAGACAGCTAATATCAGAACAGTCAGTCAGGTGGGAAAATAAATAAATCCTCTGGAGATTATTCTATAACATACCATAAACAATGTACATGCAAAAGATAAGCAAATACATACTTTGTCTTTTCCATACTATCTGAAGCTTGAAAGCCCAATGCATCCTTAGCAAGTTTAGATTTGTAATTTTTTCCTCTGCCTTTTCAGGATATCACTCATAGTATTTTTAGTGTACTGCATTACTTTCAGGAATGTGTTAGCCTCATCCCTAAGCAACTCATACTTCAGAGTATATACACTTTTTAATTGGGCAAGCATTATTAAATCTATCCCAAAATTTTGTTCCAGTTTAGAACCCCACCAGCAGTGTGTGTGTTTGTTTTCTATCCACATTGTCACTGGGTAGTATCAAATGTTTTAATAAAGTTTTTGCCATTCTGATACATGAAGATGGTGTATAATTGTTAGTTGCATTTCTGTGATCTATAGTGAGGTTAAGCATCCGTTCATATTTCATCTGAAGTTCTCAATGTCTGCATTAGTCTGAGATTTTAGATATTCGTGTGAATATTTCTTTGCTACTAGTCCCTAAGAAAATTTATCAGCATATACAACAGAAATTGTATAATGTCAGAGGGAAACACTAAATTGTCCAATTTAGTTTTCATTAGAAAAAAGAATGGCAGTGCCATGATTCTGTTGACGAAATACACAAAGATAAAGGACTCAGACACAGAAGCAGTTTGTCTTCAAGGATTATGGAGCAAGTCCCTCTAGTCCTTGTTTTGTGTAAGGGCGGTGACTTGGATTTGCTGCTTTTCAGCCCCTGGTTAGCCCCTGCAGAAATCACTAAATTGGCATTTGATTTCCTAGGTATTTCCTGAGCCACAGGTGGGCCAGTTGCTGATCTTTTAACTTCATTCAGTTTCTGAAGCCTTCTGTGAAATCTTCACAATAAAATAGGTTGATTACATTTGGCTAAACAGTATTTCCCTTAATGCTATTACCTTTTTTTTCTCCAAAGTATCTTTATGCATTCAGCATTGTTCCCATGAAACTAATGGATGCAGCAGAACTGGTCAAACAGCCTCCAGATGTCACTGAAAACCCTTATAGGAAATCTGGGAAGGAAGGATCCACAGGAAAGCAATTTCCTGCCCCTGAGGTATGTTCTGATTGAGAGGTGGCGTTTTCTGGGCAGGATTGTCTATTACATCCTTTTGCCGGGGATAGTTTAATTCATAAGACAAGTTTAATCCTTAGAATCTAAATCTTTTTTTTTCCTTGTGAAATTATGTCGTTGTTTAAAAAACCTTAGATTTCAAGAGGGCTCAGTGTTTTTTATTGTAGTTTGGGGTTAACCGTTTCATTTTTTTTTTTTTTTTTAAGCTGAGTCATCCTGCCACCTGTTGGCAGCTCAGCAGCAGCTCAGCTAGAGCAGGACCCAAACCGCTGTCGCTCAGAGCTCGCACTCTTGAGCAAGCTCTTAACCAACTGAGCCACTCGGCCAGCCCAACAGTTTCATATTTTAAGTCTTTCCTTGTACATATGTTGGGGTTACACATGTTAGGTCTTCCTTGTCTAAAGTGGATTATTAACTTTCCAGGCAAGGATCCAACAACTGCTGGTAGCAATGTCGTTTGTGATTTCATAATGAGTACTAGTAGGTAAATAAAGATTCACTCTGAGGAAATTTCTAAATAGACTTTTTTGAAATGATTTTTCTCCTCACTAAAGTAAGGAATGTCAAGTTCCCTTACTAGTATGCATGGTCTGCTTTCTCAGACTTTTTTTATGAACAACCTTCTTATCTTTTTAATTAAAGCCCAGGTAGAGTTGTTTGACCTGTAAAATTTAGGACTGCAGTATGGTCCTACTGAGAGAGGAAAGGAAAGAAATTTGGGTGGGTTCATGTTGTTGTTTTAGGCAAGAGTTGCTCTATGCCTTGCATTTTAACTTGCTTTTCCAAAGAGGTGAATTTGGGTGGTATATTGGATAAGCGTTGAGAAGTATGACTGAGAGTCTAGGCGTTTTTTCTAGAATAGGTGGAAAGGGCTGGGAAGAAAGCTAGACATGACATGGCAGGAATGTTCCTTTATATGTGAATGGTTGGCTACTTGTCTAACGGTTAGTTTAATAACATTTACTCTTCTGCCTTTGGCCATTCCAGGAAGAGTCAGCCTGTCAATTTTTCTTTGATTTAAGCACAAAACAGGGAAGGAAGCGCTCATCTACAGGCAGAGACAGCAAGTCTCCTCACCCAAAGCAGCCTCGCAAACCCCGTAAGTGCCTTGGTTCCAGAGTCTCCTACGTGAGCAATAACTGTTATTTCAGGTCTTGTTTGGGAAGCAGCATTGCTAAGAGAGCCTCTTCTGGCAGAGGAAAATTTACAATGAGTCATGAGGACCAATAATGAAATAATACAAAGATGACCTGACTTTGAGGCTATCTGAGACTATTCCTGTAAGAACTGTTGAAAAAGCTCCTTTCATTCATGTCTGTAAAACATGAGGTAAAGATCCTGCAAACCAATGTAGGTTCATAAAATAATAGAATAATTAAACTGGTAGAAAAGACTGAGGCTATTTCATTGAGATGCTTTTTATCCACCCCCGTGTTTCAAAGATGAAGAAGCTGACCTTGGGAGGGTAGACTTATCGCCCAGGGTCATGTGCCTAGCCAGTGGCATGGCTGGTACTGGAATTGGGGCTCCTGACACACAATTCAGGGTTCTTTCATTGCAGCCTATTGCCAGTTATAATACATGCTACTTTAGTCAACATGTGGTTATCATTTGTGGATCACCTACCTATGGAATGGTTACAAATTCAGAATTTTTCTAATGCAGGTTTAGTTTCATTATAATGATGATGGGGGGGAGGTGGAGGGAGAGGGTATATGTCAGGTCCTAGTGGGAGCACAGCAGGCCCAGCCCATTGTGGCGGTGCTGTACACCAGCCTTTGCGGGATCTAAAGATCAGACAAGGGTGATTATGTGCTGGAGTGCTTGAACCATAGTAACATCTGGCTTTCTTTCCTCATGAAGCTCAGCCTCCAGGACCCTGCTGGTTTTGCCTTGCCAGCCCTGACGTGGAGAAGCATTTGGTGGTCAACATTGGCACACATGTGAGTTACTTCAGTGGCTCTTTCACAGAGAAGGAGACACCTGTTTGCTTTCTATTCACTTCGAGTCATAATTCACCTATCATAAAATTTACTTTAAGTATGCAATTCAGCGGTTGTTAGTGAGCTTACTGAGTTGTGCAACCATCACATAATACAGTTTTAAAACATGTTCATCGCTCCAGTAAGACCCCTCATGCTACAGGGCATCTCCATTTCCACCCTCAGCCCCACGCAACTACTAGTCGACTTCCTGTCTCCGTGGGTTTGCTTTTTCTGGACATTTCATATAAATGGAATCATAGAATGTGTCATCTTTGTGTCTGGCTTCTTCTACTTAGCACAATATTCTTGGGGCTCATCCATGTTGTGGCATCCATCAGTATTCCATTCCTTTTTATTGTCAAATAATATCCCATTGTGTGGATATATTACATTTTGTTTCTATATTCATCAATAAGTAAACATTTGGGTTGTTTCTACTTTATGGCTATTAGGAATAATGCCGCTGTGAACATTTGCTTGTATGTCTTTGTGTGGATGTATGTATTTCATTTCTTCTGGATAGACACCATCTTTCTCCGTCTTTGCCATGCCTTCCTCAGGGGGCATACATAGAACTACGCTGATGGCCCATGACCACACATTGGTAAAAGGAGAGAAAGGCTGCTAAGAATCCCAAATAACTACTGCAAAGTCCATGCGCTTTACTCTGGGAGAATCATTCATTCAGGTCCTATTTGTACACCTGAGATACAATTGGAGATCATTTAAATATAGAGCAGGTTGGAAGGCGAGAGCTTGAAAGAGAAGGAGGAGACTGGGCAGGTGAGAAACAGTTCACAAGAACTGGAAGGTACTGCATTGGGGGTTGCTATTTAGTCTACACTAGAAAGCTTCAATAGCCTCAAAGCACATCACAACATAAAAACTGCTGTTTATGGTGGTGGCCCTCTGACATACAGAAAAAGCTAGAAGACTCAGGCTTCTTGAGTAATCTTTTAAAACAAACAGTCAAAAATGGCTATTGTAAAAATTAAGAAAATGTTTTAGTGCTTATGATGGTTTGATGAACTTCTGCTATCTGGAAAATTAACTTTGTAGATGTGCACAGTCCTCTATGCCAACTAGATCAAGGATGATCATGCTTTAGTTTGTTTCCGATACCTAGCTTGTCACTCTGTTGGACTTTCTCAGTGTAGATGAAAAATAAATGACTCCTTCCTTCAGCCTTAACTATACTTTGGATTGTTTTTTCTAAAGTCGTGGCACCTTCATTTGACAGCATTGGTATTCGTTGGCCTTTCTCTACTCACTCAGTGTTCTCCCATCAAAGAATATCTGAGTGTAGAACAGTCTGGTGTGTTTTGGTTTTGACAAATATTTCTAGTTGCTATTTAGAGGCCAACATCCATTGTTGGAACCATAGTTTTGTGTCTCTTTAGATGTACCTGAATTTCAGGTTTCTCCTTCTTTCCACCCCGTTAGGTTATGTGTTTGTTTTCATTATGTAGAAGTTAGCAGCTTAAGGCTGTAGGGACATTGGATGCTAATCTTGTCACCTTAGCCCTTTTTGTGAGCCCAGGGGGTGTATTGGAGTGGGATTGGATATTACTGTAGGGAAAGTGGTCATTTGGAAATTAGAAGTGGTATTTGCTGTGGCTGGAGGTGATACTAACTGAAAAATTGTGTTCAAGTTTGGAGACGAAGGGAAAACTTTTGTTCTGGTCCCCTGCAGCTCTGGTGTGTTTGAAGCCAAAAGCCTGTTTACATGCTGCTTGTTAGTCCCCAATTCATTTGGTACTTGGCACAGATGTTTGTTGCATCTAATCTCATTCGTCAGCAGGTACTTGAGAACGTTGTTGTTATAACCTCTAAAGTCAGATTTTTGAAAGTTGGAGAATTTCTATTAATAGCCCCTTTGAGTACTTCTTTCACACACCCCAGCCTCATTTTCTGTATAGGCTTTTCTCCCTGAAGAATTATACGTGTGGTATTGCCGTCTCACTTCTGTGTGCTTCATCTTCAGTGCTACCTTGCCTTGGCCAAAGGAGGCTTGTCTGATGACCATGTCCTGATCCTGCCCATTGGACACTACCAGTCAGTGGTGGAGCTTTCAGCAGAGGTGGTGGAAGAGGTGGAGAAATATAAGACCACACTGAGGAAGTTCTTCAAGAGTCGAGGGAAACGGTGTATTCTGTTTGAGAGAAATTATAAAAGCCATCACCTCCAGCTACAGGTAGGCGGTCTCTGCCCAAGAACTTGGAAGGGCCCCATGGGGATCTGGATATTGATGAATATTCGAATACTGTTCATTTAAATAATTAATTTGATTAAGATTTAAATATTTGATTCCAATATAAAACTAAGTATTTAACATTTAAAATATTTAACATGAATTTTCACGTTATTTAACTAATGTTCATTTAAAAGGTTAAGCGTCTCTGTTGATAACTCAGGATGAAGTGCCTGGTCAGTATAAGTGAACTGCACAGACAATAAGTGCCTTGTTTAGAAAAGGATTGGGTAGTTGGGCAAGGTTCCAAGAAAGATTTGGGCCCTGGTAGAGGTAGAGTTTGAGAGATTGGGTATTGTGTGAAGCCCAACAGGAGTGACCCCTGAGGTGGGAAACAGCCGCAGAGCCTGCATGGGGCTAGCAGCTCATTTTTGTTATGGGTAACTTGTTTGTAGTTGTGGTGGTTTTCTTTCTGGCGCATTTGTTAAGTTTTCAAATGGGCCTGACTCTGCCACATATATTATATAGGAGCTGGCAAAGGCTTGGTGACAGAGAGATCTCTCTCAAGCCTTTCCCGTATTAGAGATTGGCTCCCACACGTGGCAGGCTGTCTCATAAGTTTAAGTCCTTACGGACAGGCCTCCATAGACCTGTCTGGCCTGAGGAGAATCTCTGCTGAGGGGTGTTTCTCCACCCCTGTGATGGCTTTACTACTTCTCAAGAACTATAGGAGACACAACCTCTCTGGGACCTGCACGAAGAATTTCTTCTATCCTTTATCCCACCCCCACCCCCACCCCCCAGGTCATTCCTGTGCCACTCAGCCGCTGTGCTACTGATGACATTAAAGACGCCTTCATTACCCAGGCACAGGAGCAACAGATAGAGCTGTTGGAAATCCCAGAGCATTCTGACATCAAGCAGGTAAAACAGGAGGGAAAGGTGATGGTCAGGGAGAAGTAAAGACCTGGTTTCTAACATGTTGAGCCTGAGGTATTGTCAGGGCATTCCAAAAATGTTAACTAGGCAGGTGACAATTTGGAACTAGAGCATGGAGTATTGATTAGATTGTAGACAAAGATGGCATTACAGCAATGCCTCAGTGCTTTCCTGATAAGAGCAAGAAATTAGAAACTTCCTAAGGCAGAAACTTAGAAAGATGGGTGCCACTGGGAGGATCTTCGTAATATCTGTCAGTTTGGCTTTTTAAACTCTAGTTCCACTATGTAGCTTGGAACCTATAGCTGCTCACATCCTTTTTCTTATGCTTCTAGACTGAATTCTTTGCCAAATTAAAGCTTGTAAGAAATGAGCTAGGATTTTATATTTTTGAAAGCATTATTGTACGTGCTCATGCAACTGTGTTTACTTTAGATTGCACAGCCAGGAGCAGCATATTTTTATGTTGAACTTGATACAGGAGAGAAGCTTTTCCACAGGATTAAAAAGAATTTTCCTTTGCAGTTTGGAAGGTTTGTATATTTTTCTTGTTTTACATGTATTTTTACTAGACCTACTCTGAACAAAGCAGTGGGATGCATGGACAGTTCATCAGAAAGCCAAACATGGTTCCAAGGAACCAACAGCCTGAGGGCAAGTCAGATATTTACATATATGACAGTAGTGTAATGTAGATGTGAAAAGTACCATTACGAAGTCTTGAGAAACAATGTATTTTGCTTTTTTAGATAATTTTTTACTTTTCAGTTGCAGTTGACACACAATATCATATTAGTTTGGTGTATAGCATAATGCTTAGACATTTCTCCACTTATGAAGAGATCACCATAATAAATCTAGTACTCTTCTGACACCATGCATACTTATTACAATATTACTGACTATATTCCTTATGCTGTACTATATATCCCTGTGACTATTTTGTAACTACCAATTTGTACAGGAACGATGTACTTTAGGAATTCAGAGAAGGGAGAGCTCATGTCTGCTTGGCAAAAGGCTTCATGAAAGGGTTGAAGTTGAGCCTGAGAGAGAGATTTGGAGGGCAAACACTGGACTGTGGACATTCTAGTACAGGGAATAAAGTGCTACCATTGATTGAACATATGCTCTGTGCCAAGTACTGTGCCAGGAACTTTACATGTATTGCCTTATTTAATCTTCCCAACTCTGTAAGGTAGGTACTGTCATTGATGGAAATGCTCTATAAATCTTCACTGTCCTATACAGTAATCACTAGCCACATGTGCCCATGAGCACTTGAAATGTGGCTAATGTGACCTAGGAACTAAATTTTTAATGTTAATTAATTAGCATTAAATATCTGTATTTGACTAGTGGCTCCTATAGCGGACAGCATGGCTCTAGCATGCTTAGGTAGCTTGTCCATGGTCACACAGTAGTAGGTTCAAATCCAGGCTTGTTGGACCCAAAAATGTGAGATTTTAACCTCATTATTCTGTAGTGGCCTAAAGGTCTGGATGGGGCTTCATTTCTGCTCCTCACATCAGGTAGCACATGACTATAAAACCATACAGGGAGGTATAAATTAGGCAAAGACTGAAGACAGGAATTTGCTGACAAGAAGAGACAGTCAAAGAGGGGAGTAAAAAATGTGCAGAACAGATTATCTGATGCTGGTGTCTGATTTGCAGCTTTTTTTCCCCCTCTAGTTAGAACTGAGCTTTGAGTCAACCTTGAGCCCTTCTTGGACTAATTTGGAAAGCCTCCAAGAGATTGCCACTGTTGGATAAGTCCAGTAAATGTAGTTGTCTACATTTTCAAAAAGATAATTGACAAATGAGAACTTCAAGCATTTGACATTATCTTTTTGTTGTTGCCACAGCAACAGATGCAGATGTGGACGCTGATGACATAGACACAGGATTGCAGATACACACAGGCACATAAGCCTACGAAAGAGAGTCTCTGGATGATTTTATGCTCGTGCTAGTTGTATTTTCAACACTGAGTATTTTTCAAAATACTAACTTACAGTTACATAGCATTTTGTACTTAACAAAATACTTGAAAAGACATTTTTTTTTTCCTGCTACTGTACAAGAAAGGTGGTTCTATCTTCATTTTCTAGATGAAGAAATTGGCTCAAGGGGTGGCCGGTTAGTTTAGTTGGTTAGAGCGCAGTGCTCATAACACCCGCATGGGCCACTGAGCTGCGTCCTCCACAACTAGTTTGAAACAACTACTTGACTTGGAACTGATGGAGCTGATGGGCCCTGGAAAAACACACTGTTCCTCAATTAAAAAAAAAAAAAAAAGTCAGCTCAAGGTTTGCCCAGGCAGCTAGAACTTGAGTTGAGGGCCTGTGACTTTTAGGAGGCTCATGTGATTGATTTTCAACTCTTCTATTTATTGTAGCTTCAAAGTGGAAAATGAACCATATATAGATGTGCACATAGTTACTTCTAATATATCAAAATAAGTAAAAGTATAAAGCAGTGGCAATTAGAAGGTAGCCTGTGTGTGAGTCTATGTAGTTATGCTATAATCCTAAGAGCCAAGATAAGTTTTGTTGGCATTGAGCCTGTGCTATTGTGTCCACATATGCCTGAATCTCCTGAAAGGAGAGGCAGAAGGTCAGAGTGAGGCATGATACTACCGTGTTTCCCCGAAAATAAGACCTAGCCGGAGACTAAGCCGTTGCATGATTCCTCCAGGATATGGAGGGCACGCACCCCTCACAGGAGGGTTTTATGACCTGTTTCAGGGAGAAGGGTGCCTTTTCCACAAACTTCTTCAGCTTAAAATATACAGTATGCCAAAGTGCCATATTTTGGCATCTAAAATCACGCTATGGCTTATTTTCCGGCTAGGTCTTATTTTTGGGGAAACAGAGTAGGTGCCTGACTCTGTCCCATGCCCTTAGCAAACTCATGGTCTAATTGGGATGACAAAACTGGAGTTTAAAGTCGGATGTGCTCAACGTTTGGTGCTTTGATTGTGTTATCTCCATGCCTCACAACCCTCATTTTACATTTCATAGGTGAGACAATCAGGACTCGGAGATGAAACTGTTTAAATCATAGACAGCCCGTGACAGCTAGGAGTGGAATCGTCTCTGATATTCCTGACACCAGGGCCTGCCCCCTTCTGGGCCATGTTGCTTCTCTACGTACCAGTAAATGTAGTTCCAAGTTGTTCAGAGAAGTAAATGGGATTTGGGGGGTTAGGAAAGAGATAGGATCTGAGCTGGTCACTTAAAACGAGTATAATTTTAGTAGAATGGCAGAGAAGGCATGCAGTGCAAGAGAAAACGGTATGAGTAGAGTCAGAGGAATTTGCAGGCCTTGTTTGGGCGATGCTGAGGAGAGGCCTCTGGCTGGGGGGGAAAAGAAGCAGGATGGGGGTTTTCAGGCTGATCCTGTCTGTTTTGATTCCTTTGTGCTCTTTGCGCAGGGAGGTCCTGGCCAGTGAAGCCATCCTTAATATTCCTGACAAGTCTGACTGGAGGCAGTGTCAGATCAGCAAGGAAGAGGAAGAGACCCTGGCTCGCCGCTTCCGGAAAGACTTTGAGCCCTTTGACTTTACTCTGGATGACTAAGCAAAGGGAAAGGCACTTTATGAACTTCACAGGAAGTGGTAGCGGCCTGTTTTTTGAGAAACTACAGTCTCCCGTGGGGACTGTTTTCCTGCCTCTTTTTTGTGCATTCCCATGGAACCTGTCTGCAGCAAGAGGCCTACTTTTGAATATCTTTTGGAAAAAGTCACATTCTAGGATGAAAATCCTACATTAAAGGCATGTCTGTCATCCATCTCAAAGTACAGCTTTCGTTTATCAACATTTTCAAAAACATTTAAACTAGCAAATAAAATCCGAATACTTGCCCATGGTTGGGAAGTGCCTTATGTTCATGTTACCTATAACCATTGGAATAAAGTCGTGTGTGTGTGTCATAGGAGCCAGGGCTTTAGGCCCAGCTGTTATCCTAGGTGGCTTCTCCCTAAGCAACCCAGGATGGAAAAGGAAACAAAGGCCTTTGCCATTTTTCTCATAACATTCATCTTGCTGATATAAAAGAACTCATTCAGTCCTTCAGCAAATACTTAACTCCTATGTGCCAGGCATTTTTCTAGGCTCCAGGAGTGGAGCCATGTCCCAACATCGTCTCTGTTGTCCCACAGTTTACAGTCTAATGGGGAAGAGAAGGTGCAGATTTAAGGAAAGAAGATGAGTTCTGCTTTAGATATGTTGAGTTTTAGTGTGCTCTTGCCTAGTTATAAACTTATGGAGATCTGGATTGGAGATAAGGCTTTGGAGATCATCAAGGTGAATACCAACCTAAGCTGAAGATGACTACCTTGGAAATAGTGATCCAACAAGTATATGGAGAAGGAGCAGAGAGAGAGGGAGACATCACAGGAGAATGCCAAATCTTGGAAGTCAAAAGAAAAGTAATTGCTCCTATATATTGGGCACTAATGGCCCAGACACTATTTCACTTAATCCTCACAAAATATCTATGAGATAGGTATTATTACCTCCATTTTATACATGAAAAAACTGAGACTGGCAAACTTGAAGATTATGGAGCCTGAGGTCAACTGGCCCAGGATTTTTGAAAAGAGCTATGCAGTGTCCCTGTGAATTGGGATGTTAAAGAATGAACTTTAGAAAACAACCAGGTTCCTGCAAAGATGGCCACTTCAGGGTCAGCCCAGTCATCAGTATCCTCAGGTCCTCAGCATCTCTTCCCTGGCTCTTCCAAGTGACAATTAGGAGATTTTGGCCCCACCTGTGGAGATCAAACACACTTCAGTGCTCATTATGCTGTACACCTAGCAAATGAGGGCCTCAGAGTATTAGGATAATCTGCATCACAATTACCTATGCAGCCTGCCCAGCTCTAAGGTATGTGTTCTTGGAAGTACCATTTACAGATCACTTCCAAGTCTGATACTCCAGCTCCATGGCTACCAAGCATGTATGGGAAACCAGAATTTCCAATACCACACATTACTGATGACCTATACCATGACTCGTTTTGTATCATGTAGTGTTCAACAATCTGATTGGACTGTTCAAGGATTTGGTTGACAGTAGACACATTTGCTTTGCCAAAAGCCTATTCAGTGCTTTCAAGGCAGTGACATTACTATGGTGCACACGCTGTATCCACCTTTAGATGTTTCAACGTGCTACATCTGTGATGATACAACCATGTGTCACAAAATGTTTATTGGAATTCTGTGTACTGAGTTCATAGGCCAGAGTGTGCAAATGATGGTCCGAGCGCACATGATCTCAAAGGAGGCTCAAATGACCACCCTTAATGCAACTGTCACATTTCTTGAGAATTTGATTCCACGCTGATTGTTACACCTAGAGTGATTGATGAGATCCCAAAGTCCTGTGAAGCTATGACCAACTCAAAGCAAAAACAGGGAGCTGGTTCCCCTATGCTAAGACAATCGGCCACTCGGAAACACATTCCCTAAGCTTTCCTCTGCAGCCCTGCATCAGGCATGAAACACTCCCCACAATGAGGAAGTACTTCACTGGCAAACCCATATCTGGAGGACTGCTTGACAGGGAAAAGCTCCCTAAGTCAGGAGGAACATTCTTTACGCCAGAACAGTATCACCTCCTTGAGCCGTTTGGGATTACAGGGGAGATCCTGGGACAGGTGTATAGGAAATAAAGCAGAAGAACAGCTGATCCTGACTCATCTATGGAACATGATTAATCATTTAAGGGGAAAAAGGTGAACTGCAATATTCAGGCTATGAGGGCCGTTAGCGCGGGATCCTTTCTAGTTCTTCGTCTTCCGTCATATTTAAATCAGTGGTGGCCTTCGCCAGTGCCAGCTCAGCGGATGGTGGGGTTGGAGAGTAGAGGGCAGCGGTCTGAAGAAAGGTGAAGTCTAGATAGGCGTGGAGATGATGAGAAGTTTTAAAAAGACCAATACGGGACCGACTGTTGGAAAGTGATCTGAAGGGAATGTAGGGCCTGGAGAGATGTTACATTTTTGAAGACTGGGAAAAAAAACAAGGGGTCCTCTCAGCTAGGAAAACGCCCAGGGTTCTTAAGAGGGCGCCCTGCTCTCCGGACCCTTTCGCCTGCTGAGCGGCTGCGGCACTTTGGGAAAATTTGGGGCGGAGCTTCCCTTCCCTGCGGCAGTTACCGGAAGTGATGCACACGTCTCGCGAGAAGGAAGACGCGCGAGCCTCCGCGGCCCGGAACCGGCCTTGGAACCGTGGCGGAACCTGAGGCCGCTTGCCCTCCCGCCCCATGGAGCGGCCCCCGGGGCTGCGGCCGGGCGCGGGCGGGCCCTGGGAGATGCGAGAGCGGCTGGGCACCGGCGGCTTCGGGAACGTCTGCCTGTACCAGCATCGGGTGAGGCGGGGCGCGCCGGGGAGCGGCGGTGGGTGTTCGTCAGAGCGTCTGTGGAACACAGTGATTGTCAGTGTACGTGAGGTTGTCGGTGAGACCTCGGGCAGTGTTGTGGGCTCGTGAGCGTGTGTGTGTGTGTGTGTGTGTGTGTGTGTGTGTGTGAGTGTGTGTGTGTGTGTGTGTGAGAGAGAGAGAGAGAGAGAGAGAGGTTGAGATTGTGCTGGCGGTTACGGAGCCGGAGGTTGTATCTGAGGTTCTGAGGTCTTGGGTCAGCGTGTGTGAGATATCGCTATTAGAAAGAACGTTTGGCATGAGTGTCAAGATGTGACAAGGTGTTTACCGAATGTGACACTGCATATGTCTCCCTGAAGGTAAAGAGTGTCACGGTGTGTGATGTAAGGCAAGCGCACATCAGAGTGTGTATTGTGAGCACAAGTGGATGAGAAAATGAGGCTGAGGAGTGGGGGCTGCCTCGTGGAATGTGTGTGCATGGAAGCCGTGTGTGATCGGTGGGACTGGAGGAGACAAGGTGTCAGGGTGGGTCCTCAGTTAAGCTTTAGGAAGCTTTGGGTAGGCTTTGGAATTGGGGGTGTGTTCCAGGTAGGAAACTGAGTGAGGTTCAGCTGGTAAAAACGATCATGGCTTCACAAGGGAAGGCGATAGATTGGGGGTGAGGTGCTGTAGCGGATGGAAGACAGCTAACATCTGATTCAGGAATTTGCGTCGATTAAATTGAAAATGTTTTACCATTGTAGCAGCAGTTAAGGATCATGTTTGAGCTATGCATCTTTTGATAACCAGTAACAGCTATGAACCCTTTCCCCAGAAATATGCACAGAGGCGCCTCCATGCAGCCTTATGCGTTGCCATTCGAGGAGGTTCATGTTCTGAAAGACATTCACAGACCTTTTAGATGTATAGCACTGGACTCCCAATCCCTGCAGTCTGGGCTTTGTTTTGTTATCTGTAAAATGGTTATAATAATGTAAATTTATCATGAGTCTGACCTGGCCCATGGGAAGCCTTCAAATGTTTGCTCCTGTCACTGCTGTTGTTGTTGTCATCATCTTTATCATCGTTAATTGACCTTTAAAAAAGGAAATGCCAAGATAAAAGTGGTGTTCTTGGAAGATTTTTTTTTTTTTTGTAAAACATAAATCTGAGTCGAAAAACATATGGGACAAGATGGCCAGTTAAGATATTACTAAAATGCTTGCAATTGGCCTGTGAATGGAGAAGTGAATTCAAGAAGAGAAATCATGATTTGCTGTTTTAAGGAATGCGGGTGTGGGTAGAGAGCCCATAACATGGGATGACAGTCTACCTGGGAGGAATAGGAATGTTTGTGTGGCAGTTATACAATGACAAATATCACTGATAGAACTGAGGACATTTTGTGAAGCAGGTTTCCAGAGAGAGCATAGGAGGAAATCTTGGAGAGAGGGAGAATGGAAGGGGAAGGACTAAGGCATTGAGTACTTTGACAGCCAGACGAGTAGTCAGTGTAATAATTCTCACCATCAGAGAGGACATAGGCACTCAAAGAGGAAAGAGAGGGAGCCAAGTACTTCTAGCAGATTTGCCTGTGGCCTTTGTATTGAAGCCTGACCATCAGTCTGGTCATAAGAAAAAGTATGTATGCTGGCATGATTTTGTGACTGCTTTTCTTGGTCCCTGGATGGGGGATGGTTGAATACATCACTTTTTGTTTTCAATTGTGGTAAAGTATATAAAATATAAAATTTACCATTTTAACTATTTTTAAGTATACAGTTCAGTGTCATTAAGTACATTCATATTTTTGTGCAGCTATCACCACCATTCATTTCCAGAACTTTATCTTCTGAAGCTGAAACTCTGTACCCATTAAATAAGAACTTCCCATTTCCTCCTCCCACGAGCCCCTGGCAGCCACCATTCTACTATCTTTCTCTATGAATTTATCATTTTTTCAATGGAAGGGATTTGAGTCCTCTAGAATCTTAGAAATCTCTCAGGAATTTTCCAGGTGTCTAGAGAGGACTTCACCAAAACTGGGACATTTGACAACTTGGCCCGTAGTGAAAAGAAGAAATACTCTGTCATAAGACTTGGAAACAGCATCATGACTTTTTGAAGCCTGACTTAGGGTTTGCATTTACAGCTTTCAAGATTCTTGTGTT